CACCCTCTGTCTGAAACCAGAGCCCAGTCTGCTCTGATTGGTTAGCTGGCCAGCTCTGTTGTGATAGCTTAAATGAGCTTAACCGCTTAAAGAGTTCCCGCCCCTTAACCTATCACCTGCAATATGTTGGAGCGCTAGCCAATGGAAGTGTGAGTGTTACATTGTGATGTCACTTTGTTACAAAAGTAAATGAGTGAGTCAAATCGAGGCGTTTCAGGCAGGGGGCAGTGTGTTTTATTTTTATTTAATCGTTTATTTGGCAGGGACAATGCACAGTAATGAACACTTAAAACATTAAAATGTATCAAGCGTAACAGTGCCAGATTTAGCTTTGAGCTAGTTTCCATCCGCAGTCCCTCACATAAAACATTTAAGAAAATTACATTTTACAAACATGGTAAAAACAAAATACATGATATGCAAAAAGTGCAAAAGAGCAAGAGCAGCATACACAAGTATTTACCACAAGGCAGTACAATATAGCAGCAACGACATATAAAGTGCAAGAAAGGATAAAAGTGCTACATAAAGTGCAGGAGGAGTTACCCGTGTATTAAAGTGCATTTAGCGGTGATTGCACGTCTGTTTGTTTCTCAACCATTCTTTGAGTTGACCTTTGAAGCTATCGAGAGTGGGACAATCCCGTATCTCAGTAGGGAGGCTATTCCACAAAGAGCTGCCTTTAATGGAGAGGACATTTTGACCAAAAGTGGTCCGTCTGCGGTGGACTTCACAGTCTCCTCTGGTTTCTGACCTAGTGCAGCGTCCAGTGGGTTTTCTGTGGATGAATTCCCCTAAGGGAGGGAGGGGGGGCCAGTCCATGTAAACATTTATAAATAAAACACATACTTTTAAAAGACTTAAAATTGTCAAAACTCAAGAAATTGTGTTTTTCAAGGATGGCACAGTGGTGGTATGAATTAGGCTTTCTGTCAAACACCTTGATAGCTCTCTTGTACAGCTGTTCTATGGGTTTCAGGTTTGTGGCACAAGCAAACGACCAGTTTGCAAAACAGTATTCAATGTGGGATAGAATCATACAGTGGAGGTATGACTTTGCAGCACTGACAGTTAAGAAAGGTCTGATTTGTTTAACATTTTGCGAGTTGAATTTAATAGTATTTGATACTTTCTTAATATGTTTCTTAAAAGTTAAGTTTGAGTCCAGTATGACTCCAAGATACTTGAAGTGGGAGACTAGTTCTAATTCTGCTCCGTTTAAAAACACATTGGATCCTTCAATTTTGACTGGTCATTGACTGAACATCATGCATACTGTTTTGTTTACATTTAACTGTAAGCAAATGTTGTTCAGCCAGTGTTGAACCTTGTCCAAAGTATTTGAGAGGCAGGATGTGATTATTTCAGTATTTTTCCCGTGTACAAAGATGACTGCATCATCGGCATACATTTGTACATTCAAATCAGGACATACATTAGGCAAGTCATTAATGTACAGTGAAAACAGTAATGGTCCAAGAATGGAACCTTGTGGAACCCCCACAGGGTTCACAAGGTAGGGGGATTTGGTGCCGTTGACCAAAACACACTGTTTTCTGTTCGATAAGTGGAGTGAAACCTTGGAATTGTAGCCTTTGTAGACGGTTTACAAACACTGCAACCTTTAACACTAGGCAAGGGAGATCCCCAAAAAGCATAATAGGGCCCCATTGTTTTTTTTTCACAAGGTACAAATTCGATTTTTTAATTATTACGTGAGACAATCAACATTTTTTCCACGTAAGACCTGGGTTGCAATCACTGATCTTTTGCGATAAACTCCACCCATCTGCATTGGAAGTTGAGAATAACTTGCAACTACTGCTCATACCTGGCGGTGTTGCAGATTCCAGACCTGTGAAGATGCGTTTCTTCTTTATATTGCGTGTGTGTCACTGACACCGACTCCCATCATGATCTCGGAAAGAAAAAGGCTTTTTCACTTCACAGGAGGCACAGGAGCTGCAGGGGTCCCATTCAAGTGCCACCGCGTACTTTACAGAGCTGTTGATATCTTCCTCATGCAGACTCTTACTATGCGGTAATCTCAAATTGAAATGGAAGCAGAAAAAAAGTATTTATAATATAGATACAATGATGAACAATACAACCATTATTAATTATTGATGTATGTAACACATTTAACTAAACCCACAGTGTGAATGTTTCATACTCACAACATGAATCCCTTTATTATAACAAAATATAATAAGTTTGGGCACACAATTCACATTTTGAAAGGCATTTTAAACGTTGTTGTGTTATCTCCCTTCAGCAGACTCTCAGCCGTGCCTGTGTGACTCTCACACTTCACTAAGTGGCTTGTAAACATTGTTTGAAAAACCAAATGAGCATAAAGCCTGTTTTCTTTAGTTCAATAACGCTTACACCCTATTTTTAAAGCGGCCGACTCACAAAACTAAATAATAGAATACAATTTTAAATGTCAACCAATTCCCTCAAGTGATCTATGCACACTCATTCTCCGGATATAAAAGCATTAAATCTGTGGACACGCAACAGCCTCATAGAGGGGATTTAGCATTAGTCCTGCTGGAGCTCTGCAGCTGGCTCACTTTGTAAGATCAAGACAGAACAGGCCATGAAAAATGCAGCGACAGGGTTTCACTGCAGAGGACATGCACCAAGCCAAACTCACTTCTCATGTTGTTGAAGCTTTCTTTGGGGGTTTTCACTTGCATTGAAGAATACACCAACACCAGGTCAAATATGTGTTCTCTCAAATGATGAAGGATTGATGTAGTGTTTAGAAAATAAACTATTCTAGTTGAGTTCTGACACCCAATAATTACACCCATTATTTTAACTTTACAAAATCAATTCCATTCTTCGAACATTTCTTTGGAATAGCCTAATGCCCACATATTTGTGTGTGTGTAGTGGAAATATGTTATAGAAATAAAGATTCAAGATATTGTTTCATCTCTAAGTGGTTGACCAATCACCACAGATCTGGCCAGTTAACCAATCAGAGCAGACTGGGCTCTGGTTTCAGACAGAGGGTGAAAAGAGGTGCTGCAGCACAGGCAGTATGAGAAGAATAAAGAGCTTTTTGAACATTAAAGCATGGAGACATGTCACAGTAGAGGCACAACATACAAATATGAACCTGAAATGAGCATAATAGGGCCCCTTTAATAAGGTTTTCTACACAGGAAAGGATTCAAACATTACCGAGTCACATGTTCACGGCAAGGGTTTGCAAAGTCTGAATGAAGAGTGCTGGTGTTGTATCTGTGTTACATGGAGCCGCTGAAACACCTGCGTCCTTGAGACGCAGTGGAAAAACAACTCGCTATCTCGTAAAACAGCTACAGCACAAGTTGTATATTAAAACATAGTAATGTGTTATGTGGGAAAGAAGGACTGAGTACTTTCTCACTCATGTATTAGACACTTGATCAAGCAAAACACATCTAAATAGACATTTATATCACAGTAAAACACAACTAATTTAAAATGTCTATTACATGTGTTGTTTAGGTCTCATTTTAATGGTTCGAGCTATAATGTTATATTACATTTTTTTTAGCTGCCATTTGTATCTAAAGCTATAAAAGTGCAATAAACCATTAAGATAGATTTTCAAAACGGCAAGAAACATGCAGGTAGATTCACTTTAAATAAGCCAAACCATTGTTACAGCTGGTGCATTAGTTTGAAAGAGGTTAACCCCTATTTTCTTAATTGTTAAATGGTTAAGGTGCAGGCGAAAAACTGGTGGGTTTTTGTGTAGATTCTAAGAAAGAAAGAGTACAATTGAGCAGTGACGTTAATAAATAAATCAGATCAATCCCAACTCATTTCAATGTTAACCTATAGGCTACTGCTGCACACGTCCTCCACTCCTTTGGGAATTATTTTCCCCAGCAGATTTAGGGACTTGGCTGAATGGATTTTGCCCCGGATTCAACCACAAGACCTCCCCTGTCCTGACTGGAAGACATCTCCAGATCACACTGCTCCTCGGAGCCAGCAGCAGTCTGAAGGAGGAAACTCACCCCCATCACCATCCCTTCTCTGTGCTGCCATCTGGAAGGCCTCTCACAAACAGCTTCTACCCCCGAGCCATCATTGAACTGAACTCCACAAAACGATGTCCCCCCCCACCACCACCCTCCACTAATGTCATCACAAAACTACACACCACAGGACTAAAATTGTAACGGTAGGCTATTTAAATGAGGGAATGTGCAATAACATCTCTATCGAGCAAAATAAGCTGAATACGCCACTTTTATTAATTGATATACCACTTTTTTTATCTCTCCATTTTTATTATTAATCTATATATACAGTCTATGTACAATATGTGCAATGACAAAAAGCCACTATATCATATTCTTCTTTTAAGAGCATTAGTGAGGTCCATTACTGTCTGGCATCCTAACCCTAATCCTAACATTTCTTCATATCACTGCACTAACAGTCGAGTGGTGTTGTTGGTAATGCAGGCACCAGGTTCTGATGAGAAAGAAAACTAGTGGAATACAAAAAATCGAATATATATCTGTTGGAAAGCATTGATTTCTTTATACATTATTTTTGTAAAACAATGTTATAACGTGCAATGCCACATACATGGCATACATTTTGAAAAGTAAATATTGAAGCCAAAACCATGAAACAGAGACTCGCTACACACGATATGGACTTTTGGCCATTCTGAGCAGATATTTCCAGAGTGAATTGATTCTGTCAGACCCTGTGGAGGTCATTTTGGGCTTTCAGATGCTGAGGATGTCAGATGTGACAGGTTTGACAGGCTGAGGAAAGTTATGATGGATCACTCCCTCCATAAAAAAAAAAAAGGTCTAATCTCTCTCAGACTGTTATCTTGGTGTATCCCTGCAGCAAATGAGTCCTGATACTACCATACCATACTAATATACTGGTCTCACTGACTGGACAAGCCTCGCAGAGAGATATCCAAGCAGCCCTGAGCGGTACGCGCACTCGGGAGCGCGCCTCGGAGCAGGTGGTGCTCTCCTCCTCTTAAGGAGCAGCAGCCGGTCCGGATGCTCGGCACATCCCGGGCTGCAGGAGCGGAGTGCGGACTACAGAGAGCTGCTGCTGCCGTGTTGAGGTCCGCTGTCAGCCTGCAGCCATTGGACTGCTAAAAGCCTAATCAACAACAAAGGAAAGCAACAAGACAGACAAACGCGGGTAAGGAAATATATGTATTGCTTTTTTCTTGTGTATTGCAAAGGTTTGGCTATTAGCTTTTTACGCACAAAAAAGCGTTTTACGTATACAGTAGGCTACGAACAAATACTAGTTTCGGTTCCTTAGTGTTCCTAAACAGGTTTGTGGTGTTGATGTAATGCTTACATTAGTTAAGAGTGACTTTATGTAAATGTATATAACATAATACCTTATTATGGGTTACCCATACAATATATTGTCGCTTTTTCGCAGTCCTGCTGCTTTATTTGATGAGAGTCCTCCTTAAAATCACAAGTTTCTTACAATTGTCACGCACAATATACTGTACGGGTTGACATGATTTCCATCTGCGCGTAAAAACGCTTCAATCTCGCATCCTGATAATGTCACAAAAGTTAACATCTGAATAAATGCAAAAGGCGTGTTGGTCGCAGAGAGGGTGTCGATCAACTCACATGATTGAGAGCAAGAGTGACTGTTTGCAAGCAGGAAATTTGATTTGGTTTGACACTGGAAAAATTGAGTTAACCCGACAATCAATTCCACTTTTGTTTGTTGTTTCCCGCTGCTGTCATGCTTTAGCATCAAATCAACATCACCAGGGAATTTACTGGATGAATGGTTCGGGAGAATCAGAAATGATTGCAGCCATTATCTCCTCTTGACAGCTCATTGTGTGTGTGTGTGTGTGTGTGTGTGTGTGTGTGTGTGTGTGTGTGTGTGTGTGTGTGTGTGTGTGTGTGTGTGTGTGTGTGTGTGTGTGTGTGTGTGTGTGTGTGTGTGTGTGTGTGTGTGTGTGTGTGTGTGTGTGTGTGTGTGTGTGTGTGTGTGTGTGTGTGGAAAGATGAAGGAAAGGGAGTGAGGGGGGGAGATTAAAGTTGGGAGTCTCAGTGTGACACCATGCAATTAAAATTAAAACAAGGCAATATTTGTGGACTCGCATTAAGGAGTTAGTGTTAATTAATAGCAAGTCAATCAGCGGGGAGCATTACAGTGATCAGACTTGAGTGAGGGGCCCCACAGTGAGTTGACCCCGGGCCAAAACAAAGCCTCAGATTCATTCATGAGTGAATTATTATCATTAAAAGATAACCTAAGGACATCATTTGATGTTCAAGTGGAAATTAATTTAGAGCAGTGGTGCAATGTAACTAAGTTAATTTACTACTACTTTAAGTACTTTAAATATATAAAAACAAAAGGTCCTTGATTATTTCACATTATGCTATACTTTATACTTATACTCCACTAACATTTGTAAGCAGAAGTTGTACCTTTTACTTCACTACTTTTATTTACAGATTTAACATTTTGCTGATTTAGGTTATTAATACAAAATATAAATCAACACACACTATATTATATTTGTATAGGTTAAGCTACCCATTAATGTATAACGTAATACAAATAAACCCCGCCTTTGCCAAGTGCAACATTGAAGTGATGAACTAATGAATGATAATTGTAATACATTTAATACAATTATTTAAAAGTATTTGGTGCTTAAAATTGCTATTTTGCATAACGCATATTTTTACTTTTGGTTGGTTTATGCTAATACATTTTTACTTTTACTTTAGTACAATTTTGAATACAGGACCTTTACTTGTAACTGAGTAATTTAACACTGCAGTAATGCTATACTTTTACTTAAGTAATTCATCTGAGTACTTCTTCCACCTCTGGTGTCAGAAATATACATCATTCATTTACAAAATATGGCACCTCCATTCCAATAGTCAAATAAGGACTCCTTTAAAGAATCAAAGTTGGTTCTCATTTTCAGATAGTTCCACCAAACATACATCCATGTCTTTTATCCTGAGTTTTTCGCCAAAAGGCTACATTGCTCCACATCCATCCAGCCTCCTGCAGTGTGAAACTGGCCTTGAACGTCACTGCCAAGCGTGGCTGCAACTGTTTGATCGAGACTCTTTCAACATTGGCAACCAGTCAACGCCTCTCGCTTCCACTAAAGGGAGATCGGGAGAGGGGGGGGGGGGGGGAGATAAACTTTGGGTTCATATAATGCGTTTACATGCTTCACTTGATCATCTGTAAACAGGGGTGTTTCCCCCCTCTGACCGGTCAAACTGTTCCCATGCCGAGCGGCCAGACCACAGACCCCGTGTCCACATTTCCCCGGGGTCAGAAATAGAACAAAGTTTGTTGTTGGTTTGTGAAGCCAAAGCTTTGTTGTTTGATCGTTGTGTGTTTCAGCTGGTGTCCTCAAAAATGAAAGATGCCACCAACACTTTGTTCCAATTAAGACAGGAATAAATCCCCCCTCTGTCTCTCTATCCCCCCTTCTCGCTCTCATTCCTCTAATGTCCCCTCACTCTCTCTTCACATTACATCTTATTTTCTCTTTTCCTCTCCATTCCCTTCCTCCCCCTCTCCCCTTTTGTCTCTCTCATTCTCTCCCCTCTCTGTGGGATGCCTCTTGCTGTTTGTGTCTCGCAGCATTTTTTGGAACACGCCTCAATGTGAGTGTCTGGAGGAGGTTTCCCCGCAGTGTGTGTGTGTGTGTGTGTGTGTGTGTGTGTGTGTGTGTGTGTGTGTGTGTGTGTGTGTGTGTGTGTGTGTGTGTGTGTGTGTGTGTGTGTGTGTGTGTGTGTGTGTGTGTGTGTGTGTGTGTGTGTGTGTGTGTGTGTGTGTGTGTGTGTGTGTGTGTGTGTGTGTGTGTGTGTGTGTGTGGGCGGGCCTCAGTGCACTCCAACAGGAGATAAGGGGCCACATCTCAGGATGTCGCTGATGTTACCATGCATCAGTGACAATGTGTGGGTCTCGAACCACATCTGTTGTACCTGCGACCAAATTACCAGTGAATCATTTGGTGTCCCCCGCTCCCCTGCTCCGGCTCACTTACTGACAGATGGACCTTCCTTATGGCTCTTGTTTTTTATCACCCAGTGTTGCTTCCAGGGTTCCTCTGCCATCCAATACACATTTAAAAACATACAAAAGACCTCCCAGTCGATGTGTGAATATTGTTTGCAGTGAATTTTAGGAGCCCTGTTATGTTGCTGAAGTTGTATTGGCCCTTGAGGAAATGAAGTTTTATGGTGTTAACTGCAGCCTGGCAGAGGCGTTTATTATGAGCTGTAATTTGGGGCACTTGTTATTGAGATGATATTTATGATAATTCTGTGGCACAATCAACCTATTTTACCCAAGATGAGAGACATAAAAGTGAGTGTTTATGCATTAAATATTCAGCATCATTACTTTAAGACAGAGGGATGTTTCTGTTCAGAGCAAAGCTGCATTGTATTGGTGTCACAGATAATACGTTTATTTTTCTTAGGAACTATTTTATCGAATTCTGCGTCATGTTTGTTTAAAACAGATGTATAAGCTGCTGCTCAGCTGAAAGGAGAAATCTAGCTTGTTCCTGTTCAGCAGCCTCACACTACCACATTGACCTGCATGCTGGACTACTTTATTACAAGAAGCGATAACTACCTGTCAGAGATAGGGTGGGAAAAAAAATCAGTTTTAAAAGTTGGATTTTGTACGTACACAACAAGACACAACTTGTTAAAGGTCCCATGTCATGGCCATTTCTACTGATCATAATTCCATTGTTGAGGTCTACTAGAATAGATTTATATTGTGCAATTTTCCAAACTCACATTGGTTTCTCATACAGCATCTCTGTATAGTATGTGTATTCACTCTCTGTCCTAAACGGCATGTTGGAGCTCCTGCCCCCCTCTCTCCCTATGAGCCCACTGTGCTCTGATTGGTCAGCTCGCCCTCTCTGTTCTGATGAGTCCACCACCGTTACAGCGGAACATCAGTGTTATGTGTTACAATGGCGTTAGCAACCAGAAAATGATGCCAGTAATGACAAACAGATGAGAATGCGGCGTGGGGTCTGGGTGCCGTGTTGGCGGGACGTTGCGCGGCTCGCTGCTGCGAGGAGCAGACAGTGTGAGCTGGGTTCATTTCGTGCTTGCTGCGTGGGATCTGCAAGACAGCGAGACATCGCAAATGGACGCGGGAAGGGGTGGGGGGCTGCAGCACCCCCATATGCGAGGCTCCACTAGCACTTTCCCCAGTGTGAAATGATTGTGGTGACAACATACTTTAAATAAGCCTACAGTGGGTGTCAAGGCTAATGTCAGGCCTGCATGTTATATATATATATATATTCTACATTGCTGCAGTGACAGATTCAGTGACTGAATGAACACAAAGGTGATATTTCAGTGAAATTGAACTGGAGGTCGAGATGATTTACTGGAAGATTAGTTATGGTTTCACATTAGACTAGTTTCTTTTTTGGACTTGTGAAATGTTGTGTGCACATTTGCTTTACTTGTAGCATTGTAATTCCGCTAGAAATACCCTTTTTTCTTTTTTAAATGTACAAGGGATCTGATTACTAACTGTAAGGGAATACAGTTACCTTTTTCTTTTGTATTCTGAACAGATGATCGTGGTACATGTAATCTATTACTCCCCAAGCCTGTCTAAAAGAAAGAGAATAAGGGCATTTCCCAGAATTTGGAGGTTGTTCTTTAAACCTCTAATCTCAGTTTGTAGCCTGTTTCTGGACTCTTTGTCTGCCGGATCGGCCATGCTGGTTACTACGAGAGATAAAACGTCCAGGAGCAGATGGCTCCTGGACGTTTGGTTTCACAGCAGGTGAACCTAAAGAGACACACGCACACATAAAACACACACACACACACAGCAGCTCCATACGGGGTGGCCTTGCTGCTTTCCCTCTCTCACCTTCCTCAGATGTGGTTCCTCTCACTGTTAAGTATATTGTTGTAACTACTATGTGTCACAGGGGGCCAGGCCCGCTGATCACAGACTGGAGAGAGGTCTCTGATCTCATCATATCTTAATCATCCAGCCCCCTTTGCAATTTCTTGCAAGATTACCTATCACTTTATACCTATATCACACTCTGCTCTGATTCATGTCTCCCTGGTGACCATCTCACACTGTATACGCCGTGCTTATAAAAGCTTCTGGCACACACATATATATTGTGTTTCCAATGAAATGTAAACCACCATAACCTGATTTTTCCTCCACTGCTCTTGCTTCCTGAACAAATCTGAATTGATTTTTAAGATTTCATTTCATTTTATATGGGGCTTCATATTTTCTCTCCATATATTGCTGAGCTTAGACTTCCATAAACTCAAGATCTGAAAAAGATCCTGACTGAGCGCGAAGTGAGATATGAAGATGTCCAAGAACTTTACAAAAAAAACGTATTTATTTGTTTGCTCTGATTCAACCTCTTCTGCACTGTACATGTCCCCTGACATCCCAAGTATCCTCTCCACTTCATACAGAAATGGTCCTGATTCTAGAAGCGCCTTAATAACTCACTGTGAACTCCAGTGGGTGTCGATCAACACACACATGCGTTGTTTTTGCTGTGTTGACCACATCATTACTAACACTTCCATTTCATTATTGGCTGTAAGGACATGCAATTGTCTAGATCACAACTGGTCCTGCTATAATGGGGATACACGTGATGTTAAAATGATCATTTTGCATCTTGATTTATATATTCCATTTCATTAATGGTTGATCAAGCAATTCAATGTTCAATAAACTATGTCAATTTAGGAATGTTATTACAAATTCAGATGAGTTGCAGTTCATTATTTATTTGAAGTACTTTTTCAGTATCTATCAGCAAATGTGGCTATAATCCCTTTGAGCGTATCACATGTTCCAGTCTTTAGCCTTAAGAAAATCATAATAAATCCATTTAAAGTCAACATTTAAATGTGAAATGTGAATGTCTAAACTTTGCTTTAGTAAATATCTAATTAAAAGGATTTAATTATTCAAAAGTTAGACTTAAAATGTTGATAATTTTTTTTCAAAACAATAAATATTCACCAGGAAGTAAAACAAATTAAAGATCAAGTTTGGACAAACATCCTTAGGTATATTTACTTGGCCTTTAACAGGTTTTATTCTTTAAACCCAGAACTATCTTAACCCCCTTGAAGCCAAGAAAGTCCAGTTTGTTTCCATACATTTAACGTCACTGTTTCACTGCTTAAATGGTGGATTTCTCACTTGACACTTGTCAGTTACTCGTTGGCCTTCGATCTCCTCAGCAGCAGATGCTCACCCTGCTGTGCCATTACTACAAAACACTACCGTGGATAATACACACTCTGGCAGGAGGCGGTGTTGTTCTCGGAGGTTGTTTATCACACACAAGAGACTGTGCTTAAAAACCCCAAATGCCACCCAGAGTGCTCCATTATCGTCTCCATCCCGTCTCCTCAAAGGGCCACCTGTTAGCGGCACATGAAAGTCTGAGAGAGGAAAACAGGGCACTGCTGTGCTGAGATACTGGCTCCCCCTCCATTACCGCCTGCCTTCACTTTCACATGTCTATTCAGCCCTTTAGATTCGATCAAATGATGCATGCTGCCTACTGTTTCTATGGAGGCGTCACATCTTTTTTTTTAGGGTTGTGTTGATTGCCTTTTACTATTATTTCCACCTCTGTGGATCGGATTTATGCGTTAATATCTGAGTTTTAATCCTGAATGAGATAAACGGGTACAGACAAGAAATAGATGGATCTATTTTCTCTGCTTTTGATTCCCCAGATTAAAGAAAAATCTCCAGAATTTTACATAAAGCTTACATCAAAGTACTGTTCACCATAAATCTGTCAACTCAACAAGTAGATGTCTTTATTTCGAGGAATAGTTTAAGCTCTTTAGTATTCTCAAAAGTTAGATGAGAAGAACAATACTGCTCTCATATCTGTACAGCTCAGTTTAGCTTAGCATAAAGCCGAAACAGCTAGACTTGCTCTTTCCGAATTCAAATATTAAAAAATATATATATATATCATACCAGCACATTTAAACCCCGATAATTAACCCACTTTATCTTGGTAGTTCAACTTGTAATAAAACAAAAGCCAACACTCCATCCATGTTGGAAAGCCACAATGCTTTTAATAGTTACTGACGGAGATAGGAAAGGCATTTTGTTTGGACGGAATTAGGCTATCATTTGTACCCTGATTCCAGCTATGCTAAGCTAAGCTAACCAGCTGCTGGATCTTTAGATTACAGATTGTCATATTTCACATACTTGAGAGTTGAATCAATCTTTTAACTCTGTGCAGGCAAACAATCAAATGAATTTCCCAAAATGTGAAACTAGTCCTTTGATAGCTATATATTCAAATGTGCTGGTATATGATCCCTTAGACAATCCCCATCTTCTTCCACTCACTTAAGTTTGGATGTTTTCTTTGTTTTCATAAATGAAATGACACTTTTGCCCTTACAGAGTCCAGAAGCACCACCTTAGCCAGAGCTTAATCCTGGCTAAAGACTTTTGTGCGTGACACGTCCGACCGCCCCCCATCCCCCGACACTTTTAAGGCCTGTTTGGAGATAAAGGTCTCACCTCAGTACCCTCACGCTCCTGTTTGCAAACTGCACAGCTGGTCGCACTCCCAGAGGCCAGCCGACGCAGTCTGCCTCTAAATCCCTCAGGGCGCTGCCTGTACTCGCACTGCACATTTCCCCGGACATTAGTATACACACACAAACACACACATACACACGCAAAACCTGCCGCCCTTGGTCCTGTTTATTTTAGAAACAACTAAATAACGGACAGTAAACCCAAAGGATATGTGGTTTCATCTTGGTGTGGGTCAGTGTGATAAAAGAGCAAATATCTAATCCATCCCCCTGCAACACACACACATTCACACACACCGCTCATGACCAGCAGCTCAATACTTCTCCCTCATTGATTTTCTGTATTCCCTGCACCGCCGTTTGTCTTTTAACACAAAAGAGTCGCCTACGAAGCACCATAAGAGCATTGTGTGCTTCTGTATCGATGGATTATCTCAGCATATTAAAGTGGAGGACAAAACAAAGCAAATCATATTTAGTCTCATTTTATCCGACACGACAGAGTTTGTCATCAAGAAGAACTGGTGTTCCCTTCTCTAGTGTGACACACAATTCTTCTGCAATTCAATATGCTTTATTATCTTACCCTTACGGCCCGTCCACACGGCAGCGTGCGTTGAAGCTTCAACGCTTCTGCCCATTCACTTTGAATGGGGTGACGTCACGCTTTGCCGAACTGCATTGTGGGAGCGTCGTTTTGCTCGCGTTGCTTGCTTCAAAAGTTGAGCAATGTTCAACTTTTGAAGCTTCGACGGAAGCGTCAGCCAATCAAATCATATGCCAGTACAAGCTCTAGCCAATCAAACCGCGTCCTTGTGTGTCCGGGGCGGGAGATTCATGTGATTGGTTGTTGGTCGAGTTTCAGACACGCCCGCCGGCAAGCTTCAACGCACGCCGCCGTGTGGACACTGCGTTATGATTCTTCACAAAGTCTGTGGTTAGTTTAGCTTTTCTTAAATATACAGTCTATTAGACATTCACATGACTTATAGATCACCATATAATGCATAAGAATATTACCATCTTCTTTAAAAACTATAAAAAAGTACCATCAATCCACATTTTCAAACATCTTTATAGCATATTCCTCTTGTAAAGCCCTCGATATAAACTCAGTTTTGCAGATATTATAATAATTGTTGTGTGTAGTTCCTATAGTGTTTTTTAGGTTGAATGACCAATTAATCGACTTTATATATGGAAGTCAGACTGTGCAATATATATTTTAGGTTTGATAATTAAATATCAAAAATTAAGTTTAAGTGTATAATATCGTATCTGTATAGTTGGCATGCTATTATTCATAAATGAACTCATGAACAATGTTAAAAAAATTATTTCAAGCAAATTTAAGTTGCATATACGTTCACTGCATTAAAAACGTTTGGTGATATTCAATAAATAAATGTACCGTAATGGCTCAAAAGACATGTACAACTGCATGTCAATATGAATGCAATTAACCCTTAGTTATGTAAAATCAACATTTAAATTGAACCCTGACTGTAAAGTAGCTGGCGACCTATAGATAGGAATACAAAATATATAATTTATTCATCTCGACACCATCCTTTGTTCACATTTGTTCAACATGCTGAGGCCTTTAATACCCACAGAACCTCACATTTCACTTCAGTCACACCTGGAAGACATGTTGACTTTTGTAATGAAAGCTACGGTTGGAGGCCTCTCGAGACTGAAGGGGCAGCGATGAAGCAGGAGCGCAGTGCATTATTCATACTGAGGAAGGCATGAAGGCGAATGTGAAATCATTCTAAAAAGAGGCACAAGTGTCTGTCCACCTCTTTCTGGCCTACTCAAACCCACCTGGTCCAGATAAATGGGTCCACTTGTGGGTGTGAATTTGTAGGAAGCTTGTAGGGAAGAATGAATGCAGTGAACACAAAACCTGAGGAGGTCTGTGATTTCAGATAGGGGCTCCACCACTGAGGGTGGGCGGAAGATGCCTTTCAGAGGGATTTTACCATTTTATGTGGCTTATATTTGCACAGAAGAAAAGCCCTGCATGCATTTGTTTGCACAGGATAAGGAAAGACGACAGACTTCTGCTAATATTTTTTTTAATATCTCCCTTTAAAATTCTACTTGAAATTTGCTATCAGTGCTTGTATGTAAAATAGATGCAGTTGAAAAAGCAACTGAACTGAACAGTCTGTACATATAATGTTAACAGCCATGCTAGCAGCTCTGAAAGTTTATACCTATAGATTTACACTAATTGCTCATTTTAGCATGCAACATCCTCACTAAGTGTTTGGGATTTGTATTTATGTCTCCACTGTTGTGTGATCATTTTCTTAGAAACACTCTTCTTGGGAAAGAAACTCCCTATGGAGGGAACTTTGGGATTTTAGCTTTTGCAGACCGATAACATGCACAAAAACCTATATTACACACCACAGGAAAGGGAAACCCCCAAAAAGCATAATAGGGCTTCAACATTTTAGTGGTAGTTATTTTAAACAAATTAAAGCAGAGCAAGTGTGATATTGAGATGTTTCCTCTTCCCTGCAGGTGGCGCTGTGCTGGACAGACCATGTTTCTCTCCCGGAGTCTCCTGCTGGCGTTCCTGTTCTCCGCCCTCATGTTGTCGCACGGTGCTGAGCCCGGAGCTCCTCACGGTAAGAGGAGACAGAGCTCAGCGGGCGGCAGCAACGCCCTGCAGCACCCCCTGCAGGGGCCCCAGGGCCGACACTACAGCAGGGAGCGCGGCGGGCACAGGGGCCAGGGGGCCCGCGCCGGCAAAGGTGGAGCTGGTCTGCTGTCCCACAGACCGCTGCACCCCCTGGCCCGGCCCGAGGATGACGGGACAGGCCTGGAGAGTTTGGGCCCGGTGAGGCTGGAGATGGGCCCCAGCAGAGACAGAGCCAGGATGAGTGGGAAGAGTCAGGCGCAGAGCCGGGACAACCAGCTGCTGGGGACACGCAAAGGAAGGGGACATGGACATGGCAATGGTCACGGACACCACTTTGAGCACAGGAGACAAGGGAGTCGGCGGGACAAAGAGCGGCATGGCAAAGGTGACCTGACTTATCCAGACCATTTATTAACTAAAACAATGACTCAATATGTTCGTCAACAACCTCTATTTTTAGGACCACGCAGTGAAAACACTGACTGTGATGAAAAAGAGGAGACTAAAATCTAGTTTAAATCAAAGTTAATCCCAATTTTCTAGAATGTTTTTTATGCAAAACTATTTCCTGAGCTGCACTCGCCATATCACAGCAGAACACAATCAGCACAGTCTTGAACTTGTAAACTTACTAGCTGAAGTTAAAGATGACAACAGGGCTCAGGAGAAGAAACATGGTGATATTTTGTCTAGAGTAGTGTCGATTTGCATCTGGGTGAATATAGCTACATTGTCTATGGCAACCCAGGTGCAAATAGCATTGTTAGTTTTGGATACCCTCTTGCAAATAGAATTGTAAGCTACAGACAGCCGTGTGCAAATAGCGTTGCCTGCTAAGTCCACTCTGGTACAAATAGCATCATTAGCTATGGATATCCAAGTATAAATAGCATCGGTAGCTTTGGAAACCCGGGTACAAATAGCATTGTAAGCTACAGACACCCTAACCCTAACCCTAACCCTAACCCTAATATACAGATTAGGCTATTATCCACCTTTGCAGTGCCGTCCAGCATTAGACTAGCAACATGGAGCTAAGGGCCTTATTAATTCATGTAAGACATTTGGCTTACTGATACATTTCAGTTATATAGATATGATGGTAGTCACATCATTAGTCAAATTCTAGCCAAAAACGTTGTCCTGCAGGCATCCTGGCATCCCTGCCAGGATGTGTGGATTATTCAGAGAGACCAAGACTTTGTTTCTGGAAAAGGATGTTGTTACATTTTTTTAAATGTGAGTTTTCAATGCTCTGAGCAACACAAATCCAGCTAGCCATCTCCACTGTACTGAAGTGTTGGAAGACATTTCCCAAAACATGGACACAACAATCATGGTCGTATGGGTTTTTGATCGTTACACACAATCTTCCTCAACACATTGGCGAAGGTTTTTTCTATCTTTTAAGCTGCAAAGTCCTGAAAGGGTTAAGAAAATGTGACATCAACATGTCTTTAAAGATATAAAAAGAATTTGCCATAAAATCTTCCCACTTTATTAAATACTTATAAAGGTTTGTTTAATCTTGTCTTTCAAAATTCTACTAGTGTAAATGAGTCTTGAGGTTTGCTGTCAGCACGTATGTTAAAGCTGTAGTTCGAGCTACTGATTCTTCTATTGATAAAACACTAAATACATACCCTGCACAAACATTCTTTAGCCATGTTTTTTTTGTAGGTTTGGTGAACATTTAGGAATGTCAGCTCTTAAAATGTCCAAGCTTTAAAATTAGACCATATCTTCCCACCTCACTAAGTCTTTATAAAGGTTTGTTTACAATAGTAAGTAATCTTGAATTTAAATGTAAATCAAACTTGTTTCATAATTGTAAGATAATGTTGAATGTTGTATTGATGGTTTAATATTCTCTCTATCTTTCCCTCCAGGATTTCTCCCGGAGCCTGAGCTGAGCTCTGCGTTTAAGGACAGGGATCTGTTGGAGGACCCTCCCTCCATCTCCTCTGTTGCCTCCCCCTCCCTCAGCATGACCCCGCCCGATGAAACCCCCTCCCCCATCGCCGCTGTCTTTGGCTCTGGCTCCTCCATGGTTACCACGGTGATGAACGAGCATCCCCCAACGCTGCCCCCAGCCTCCACCAAACCCCAGGTAACCCAAACGAAACCCAAGTGCTTCTTAAAGGCTGCGTCTGTTGGCCCAGCGTGGCTCCAGTGTGCGGGGGAATCAGAGCACAAAACGGGCCCCATTCCCACCGTTACGCTACCTCATAGCTCATCTTGGAAATGACACAACCTGAAAGTGTAGCACGTGAAAAATATCCCGCGGCATTCCCAACTCATTGGCTCTTGGTCACAGTGTGTGTGATAGATAGGGCTGTGTTCTGTATAATAAAAGTACACCTCTGGGATCAAGATCCAAAGTCCAGCAACACTTTTCCTTCTGTTTTCCTTATTAGAGCCATGGCAGGACACAATGTATGTGAGCACGGAAAGCATTTTTTGTGTACGACTGTGGGCACTAGGGCTGCACAGTTAATCAAAATGTAATCGACTATCACTATGGACTTATGCAATATTTGGTAAAGGCTAAATATTTCAAAATATACCATCCGATCAAGTATTGTGGATCTGCAGAGATACAAATAATAATGTACAGACTTATCAAAACATATTTGTTTGGTACAAATTATCTTAAAAAACGAATTAACACCTTATTGATAAGGAAAATAATGATTAAAAAATGATCGATCCCTCCAAAATAGCAAATCATTGCTATTGCTATATCCGTCACAATCATCGCAATCCGCAATTTTTTTCAAAATGGTGCAGCCCGAGTTGGCACATGCACAGAAAATCAGCAGGATAGCGTGGGGCGCCACCCACCACCTGTCACACTCACCCAGCATGATGCTGCATAAACAGCATTTATAATCTAAAATAACAAGTGTTTCCTCACGCCTCCTGCAATCATGGAGCCGTTACAAATGATACTCTTTAAGACAAGATGTCCCCTGATGTCAATAGTTTTGATCCGCTGCCCACTGCGTGAAAAGCTTGGGCATTTTGTCACAGCAGCTGCTAACAAACACACACCAGCTTGAAGGGCGTCCATGGGAAATATCCGCCTTAGTTACAGGATCCACAATGCTGTTTGATGGACAGTTGTTTTGTTGAGGAGTGCTGCTCAAGACAACACAGTAAAGATGTGCACTGACGTGTTTAATTAGTGGGAATGACACAAACAACAAGATGTAGCCCTATTTTTGCCACAAGGAACCAAATCACTAACAATTTAGAGCTTTTAGTTTGAGATATTTTAGTATTTAGTGTATAGTATTTAGAAATTATTATAGTATTTTTATAATCATGTACTGATAACTGGCTCTTTTTGTTGACAAGTCTGTGTATGATGTCAAACTTCACCTGTGGTGGGCTTAAAATAGACAAAGGAAATGTTTTCGATAACATCCTTTCAGAATTCATTTCAAATATACCATGGCAATAAATTGCAGTGTATCATGATTTATTTGGATTTTTTAATTTTAATTTTGGATATTATTTCTGGAGAGTCAACCAGACTTTGCTGTTTGATAAATTACTTTTCATTTATACTAAACAACATACCCGTGCATGCTCGCTGGAAATGTGTGTCAGATACTTTTGAAAAGAGCGTGGCTCAGAAAAGTATAAACATATATACTTAGACTGGAGTTTTGAATCAAGATGTTCTTCTGAAAGGATTTTACGGTTATCATTTTGAATCCCCTTATGACCTCTACCAGGTGGATGTACTAAAACCAATGCTAGTTTAATAACAGTTAAAACACCATATAGAAAAGACTGAGAGCCTGAATCTGTGTGTGTCTTTACCATTAGAACACTATTAGAGTGAAATATTATTTCACCACAGAAGAAAAGAGAGCCTTGAACCTGGCGCGAGCACGCAGCGTGTTTCTTAATGAATGTTCGATCTTCTGCTGATGGTTTAATGAGCAGCTGAGCACCAGGACACAGCCCCCTGCAATTCATCTAATTGATATTTCCATATACGCTTATTTCCTGAGGTTGGAAGGAAACAAGTATGGATCTGTTTCCATGAGGAGGTTGATTCTTATTTTTTGATGGATGTCTTTCATCGGCCGAGTATTCCTCAAGAGACGTCTCAAAGTCCTGCTGGCTTAATTATACTTTATATTTAGCTTCATATGTGTGAGGAAAGTGACAGCGGTAATGTTTTTTATGGCTTCTATTACAGAGGGTTATGAATACGAAAATATGAGTTTTGTTTTATAGCAATATTCTGAATGACTATATTTTACTGTGGGAGAAATATTAATTTAGGGTGGTGCTCTCCGACTTTTATAGGAATTTTTGGAAGAGTTCAAAGGTACCCAACCTTTGACTTGAACTATCCTGGAGGCAAGCACAGATTTACAATGCTCATTATCTTTTATTCTTTCTTTTGTTACTGAATATTATGCACAAAAAAACGTGATAAAAAACAAAATGATATAAAATACATGAACATTATACAAATGTACCCTACAAAAATTGCACCAGCATTTAACTGTTTGGCTTTTTTTTATGTACTCGCTGGATTCTTGCTATTCTGAATTTATTATCCTCATATTTAATATTAATAATAATAAAGCTTTAGTGTATTGCACTTTTCCTACACCAGAGGCCTGTACGACGAAGCCGGTTCAACATAACCTGGATATGTTTGAGTTACCCGGTTTACCTAATCCAAAACAAACGCGCTCTCGCTAAGCGGTCCTACGACGCGGGTTATCAACTCGTTAACTCAAGCCAGCTTTGCCCTATCTAGTTAGGTGCGCGTTCACATGAAAGGGGTGGTATTTGGAGCATTCGACCAATCACAAACATGGACAAGCATACTGACAGCGCAGCGCGTCATACTATGCCTTATATAGGTATGGTCCTACACTATATTATTCAAATATAGCATGATAGGTCCACTGTAAGTAAGCTTTCTTAACGCTAATGTTATAATAGTCAGATTGCTCTGAAGATGGGAGGGGATATTCTATTAATTTTCACGTTCACACAGTCAGTTGATTTTGGCCGGCCGTCTTTCCTGCAACGGCAGTTTAAACTGTATTTCCTCTATCCTGTAATATGACTTGATCGCTTTAAACTCTGCACACTGAGCTCTGATTGGTCAGCAGGCGGTGCTTTCACTGACTTGATCTCTTAGCCTGTAACCTAACCTGCTCCGGACCAGAGGCCTGTACTACGAATCTAGTTCAACATAACCTGGATATGTTTGAGTTAGCCGGTTGACCTAATCCAAAACAAACGCGCTCTCGCTAAGCTGTCCTACGACGCGGGTTATCAAGTGGATCGCTCAAGCCAGCCGTGCCCTATCTAGTTAGGTGTGCGTTCACATAAAAGGGGTGGTATTTGGAGCGATCGACCAATCACAAACATGGACAAGCCGCGTACTGACAGCGCAGCGTCATACTTCCTGAATGAAAAGTGAACTAATATTAGACAAATATGAAGACGTTAAACTTGAAACATCCATGACTTAAACACTTTATCCAGGATAAAAGCCACATAGCTGCACCTGCAAGGTGAATACAGCTGGTAAAAGAAAAAATGTTTGAATGCGAGTGGATCTGACTTTAATTACATTTGACTCGAGTGTTTCGTCAACTTAATGTGTTGCTTAAAATAATACTTCTGCATACAGTATGTGACACTGTGAGTGTTGCACGGCCAGATACGGCTCAAGAAGCTGACTCAGATAAGGAAATATATGATACATTATGATGTGATATTGTGTGATATGAATGATAATGGGACACATCGACGTGTGCACTCACATTGACGTGTGCACTCACAGTGCCGCGGACTCTAGGTAATGTTACTTTGATCCGGTTACTTATGTTGTGGCAGATATTTAATTTAAGGGGACCTATCATGCAAAATGCACTTTTGTACGTCTTTTATACATGAATATGTGTCCCCGGTGTTCCAGGGAACTCACCAAGTGTCAGAAAACACAACCCTCTCTATTTTCCTCCATACCCAAATCTCTAAAAACGGGGCTGCAACGGATCTGTCGGAACGTGTTGGTCTGATAAGTAATAACCGGTACAGAGTACTGCTTGGCTGAAATAAATGCAAAAATACTCTCAGAAACTTTAACTTGAAGTACTTTCTTTCAATGGTAATTACTAAAGTCATGTTATTTCTCTCCCACACACTCCCCCCTTCCTGAAACTCCTCCATTGGACTCCTGTGTTTACCTCTGTAACATAATGACATCACTTTGTAACACTCATGCTTCTATTGGCTATCGCTCCAACACATTGTACGTGATAGGCTAAGGGGCGGGACATCTCTAAGCAGTTGACCAAACACAACACAGCTAGCCAGCTAACCAATCAGAGCAGACTGGGCTCTGGTTTCAGACAGAGGGTGAAAAGAGGCGCTGCAGCACAGGCAGTATGAGAAAAATAAAGAGCTTTTTGAACATTAAAGCATGGAGACATGTCACAGTAGAGGCACATATGTCCTCTTTAATTCCAATAATAACAATTTTCAGTTACATTAGTGTAATTAAAGACTTAAAAGTATATTTTATAAAGTACCTTATCCTTACAACGTAAAGAAATCAGAGTCTGAACATTGTTAAGGGCTTTAACATCTCATTAATAAAGTAAATTCAGTTGCCTGCTGCCCTCACAGGAGAGAAATAAACACTGATGTTGTGTGTAATGAACCGTACGCTTCAATCTGTTTATTGTATAAGTATTAACAATATAAATGATGCGATATATACATTTGTATTCAGGTTGTGGGCAGTCCTCTAACCGATCAATCGTTTTTTAAGCTCCTCTTTGCTGACCCTGTGGGGGCGTTTTATGAATCAATGAGGCATTACTGTAGCTTGCCACAACAAGTCAAATATGTTTCATTAAAAACACACTGCAGTGATGAAAAACACACAACAAATCAAACCACACCTCTGCTGCTACTGCACAATCATCTGAGGAGACACAGTTGATCTCTGTGTTTTCTAAAGTATGGTGAAAAGCATCACATTTGGCATTCGTTCTTTTAATACACGTTTTCATATTCTGATCACAATTGTCTTTGAATATGTAAATAAATATATGATATAAGATGTATTTGTTAAAATGGAGGCAGAGTTTACACAGCATGCTGCAACTAATGGAAGTGGGATTAGGTGTTTACAGATCTGCATGTTTGGATACAGATTGTGAGTTAGCTCGGTATGCAAATGTTCTCACTGAAATACGAAGTAGATAATCAATTATAAAATCCCCTAGGGTTATCAAATTTCATTACGTAACATTGCGGCCAAAAGACAATGTAAAATTAAAAATATAATAATAATGCAATCTGTCAAATTTGTCTTTAAAGACGACATATTATTCTCATTTTTTGTTCACACTTGTGTTACGGGTTCTTTTTAGATAACATGCTGTGATTTACAAAGTATCATGTATTCTTCTCATAATGTCTGCCCAGTCAGCTGTGATTGACTTGAGAAAAGAAACATGCTAATTAGGTTCTCAAGACGTGGGTGGATGAACTAAGTTGTGGGGAGGTTTATTCTAATGAGCTCAAATGTGACACAGGAAGAGGAGCCACATCTGAATTGCTTGTTGAATCACATGACTAAGGCAGCCAATTGAAAATTGTGAGTTTTTTGCCATATGTCCTTGTTTCCTTTGTTTATTGTGCTTTTTGCAATTTTTTGTGGCAACTAGCGACCATCAAGTTTAGAGAGATGCAGATATAGAGTTTAAAAGTTGGTGGAGGAAGGAGAAGCGCAATAATGATATAAACAATTTATCACATCACAGTAAATTTCTCTGAGTAAAATTGACTCAAATTGAAGAAAATTTTACTCTAAAAATATAACATTTGGTCCCAACCTATATAGAGTAAAATGTACTCTTTGTTCAGAGTTGTATTTTTAGAGTTCATTTTACTCTATTATGTGCTTAGATTTTACTCTGCTTAATGGTTATTTACTCTATGTAGTGTATATTAAAAACAACTCTACTGCCATTTTACTCATAATAGAAGATAATTTTACTCCCAATCGAACGTCATTTCACTCCAACTAGAAGGTAATTTCACTCAGAATAGAATAAATGAACCATAATGATCTTTACAATAAAAAAGGTCAATAAACCAAAGTGCTTAAGGAACATGAGTGGGCGTGTGTGAAGCTGACCATTGAGCGGCCCGACCAAGCAAGGAGGCAGAGGCAGAGAGTTCAAATACAACCCGGTGTGGGCATTTATTCCTCTTTGTGGTACAGGATACACACACACACAGCCTCAATATGACTGTCTCACGTGAACACAGTCACCAGCACCAAGGATCTCACACACACACACTAACAGGAAAACAGAACCTAAATACACACAGGACTAATCAAACCAACAAGACACAGGTGAGGAGGGAGGAGAAACACAGGGCACCAGGTGAACGCAATCACCAGCAACAGACAAGACGGGAGGGGGAACACTTTTCAAACTAAAACAGGAAACAGAGACAGACAAACTAAAACATAGACAGATCGTGACAAATATATGCATAAATTACATATAATCACATGCTTCCTGTGCAATGTTTTAGCGTGGAACAAATTAATATAGTTCGCCAATAATGAAGCTATATAATCCGTAACGGAGACCGAGATCTATGGCCCCAGAGATCACCTCCGTTACAGCGTGGTCATGGTTTAACTCCAGTAGAATTGACTCTGCATTTTTGATCGCACTCTAGAAGCTATGAGTAATAAATACACTCCAAAATGATTACATATCACTATTTCAGAGCAAAATAGTAATTACTCTGGAAAAAATACTCACCAATATTTCCTGTGTACATTACCTAAAAAACCTAAAAATGTTTTTCAATCCCATTTTTAAATACCATGGTTATTGTGGTTTTGGGGTATTTCGTGACACCCCTAGAACTGTCACTTAAAGTTCTCTTTCCTTTTTCAGCGGTCTGGAAAGGGTAAAGGAGAGGGAGATGTGATGCCAACGCTGGACATGGCACTCTTTGATTGGACAGACTATGAGGACATGAAGCCTGTGGACACCTGGCCCGCCTCCAGGAAGAAAGGTTGGCTTTATTTCATTAAAAAGCTCTGATTTGAAAACAGGTTTTGTGAAAGATTTCCATATTAAATCCTTATTATATCAGTTACTACTGTGAAGAGTACATATTATGCTCATTTCCAGGTTAATATTTGTGTTTTGTGCCACTACTGTGACATGTCTACATGCTTTAATGTTCAAAAAGTGCCTTATTTTTCTTACACATGAAACGCCCCATAACATAATAACATCACTAAATAATAATTGTGCTTCTATTGGCTAGCGCTCCAACACATTGTACGTGATAGGCTAAGGGCGGGACATATCTAAGTCGTTGAACAATCACAACAGAGCCGGCCAGCTAGCCAATCAGAGCAGACTGGGCTCTGGTTTCAGACAGAGGGTGAAAAGAGGTGCTGCCGCACAGGCAGTATGAGGAAAATAAAGAGCTTTTTGAACATTAAAGCATGGAGACATGTCACCGTAGAGGCAAATGTGAAAAAGAGATGATAATGTCCTCTTTAATAAAACTAAGACCAGTCTCTCAGTTGTTTAGATATTTTGATACATAAAGAAAACCTCAATGATAACTGAGTGATAGACGAATCAATCTGTTTGTTTGGGGCTGTGTATTGATCAGACCTCCAGCATTCGCGATCAAACTTTAATCCATTTATTTTTCTGCTGCAGACAAGAGGCGGAGTAAGAACCTCAGCAGTGGGAATGTGACTGTGGACGCTGACACCATCGAGCCGTGTGATCACCACCTGGACTGTCTGCCAGGTCAGTGTGTGCATCACAGCCAGAGGAGGCAGCACAACACAACATTCAAAGTCTCCGCATGACACATGACCACAATAACATCCTGCAAAGAATCAGCACAATACATCAAATCCTACACATCATTTACTAAACTATAACTCTACTTGCAAAATTCGACGTACAGAAATGCTTTATAGAGACATCAGTAAATGTTTCTTCATACCGATGTAACACAATATAACATCACACCTTAAATCAAACATGGCTAAATTCTGATTGGTCAAAAGATGCAATCAAACTCCACCCTTTTCAAATAATTGAGAAAAAAAAAGTGAAATAACCAAAACATTTCTTATTATTCTATTATTTACTTTTCATGCAGGACATCGTTCCTGATAGTAAGAATCTGATTGAGAAAATACTTTTTCTAGGATTTGATAAAGTGGCTGAAGAGGAACATGCAATTTCTTGAAGTGGCTATTACCCATAAAACTAACTCTCTATTTTTCTATATTTTATTTGAATCATGTTCTTGGCAGTGTGTCCAAGTTTGATTGTTGATTATATAATGTGTTTGTTTCTTTAAAGGTTCGTGTTGTGACTTGAGACAACATGAGTGCCAACCTCACAACAGAGGCCTCAACAACAAATGCTACGATGACTGCATGTGTGAGGATGGTGAGTGAGGAACCATGTCAAAAAGTTATTAATCAGTTAAAGGTCCCATGTCATGCTTTTCCGGTTGTTACCAGTCCCCTTGTGTGTTATGTAGCTTTTTATGCATGTAAACTGCAAAGTCACAAACCCTCAAAGTACACCCTGTAGCGAGTAAAACTCTAACACAGAAAAGACCTGTCTATGCTGCCCCAGAACGCCTCGTTGGAGATTTCTCTTTTTCTTCCTGGGTGACGTGACCATACCCAAATGGACCAATCCGTGGAGCTCCTCACACACACACACTCTCTCTGCGGCGAAACTGTGGCATGCTTACACTGTAGGTGCGCCGCGTTTGGGGGTGCAGGGGGGATGCGGGTGCTAGTGGAGCCTCGCAGATGGGGGTGCTGCAGCCCCCTCAGCACCCCCCCTTCCCGCGTCCATGGTGCTCAGGCTGAGTTTCGCGATGTCTCGCTGTCTCGCAGACCCCACGCAGCAACCAGGAAACAACACCAGTAATAGAGCTCACACTGTCCCCTAATCACAGCAGCGAGCCGCACAATGTCCCGCCAACACGGCACCCAGACCCCACACAGCATTCTCATCTGTTTGTCATTACTGGTGTCATTTTCTGGTTGCTAACAAAGGCCATTGTAACACATAATCACTGATGTTCCGCTGTAACGGTGGTGGACTCATCAGAACAGAGTGGGCGAGCTGACCAATCAGAGCACACTTGGCTCATAGGGAGGGGGGGGCAGGAGCTCCAACAAGCCGTGTAGGACAGAGAGTGAATACACATACTATACAGAGATGCTGTATGAGAAACCAATGTGAGTTTGGAACATTGAACAATGTAAATCTATTCTAGTAGACCTCAACAATGGAATTATGATCAGTAGAAATGGCCATGACATGGGACCTTTAAGAATCTGTTTGTCAAAAAGCAAAACCTGACATGGTAAAATGGATGTTATATATTTATATACTGCAGGGCCGATAAGGGAAAGTAGTGAAAGGCGTGCAGTAAAGTGGGGGGGTCAGGATATAGTGTACATGTAGTTGGTTGGAGTTCCACTGGACTACAGACCCTTTTCACAGCATTTTCACAGTAGGAAAAAAGCAGATGTGTATTGCCAGGATGGGCAATTAGTTTTTAAGGCATCTCATGTTAAATTGGTTGAAATATTCTTTGCAACCCAACAGCAATTATTAAATCAAATGCCTTAAAGAGGCTCTGTTGTGCTTTTAGAGGTCTCCCCTTTCCTGTAGTGTGTTATATAGGTTTTTGTGCACGTAAAAGCTAAAATCCCAAAGTTTCCTCAAGAGGGAGTTTCTCTCCCACACCCCCTGCCTGAAACGCCTCCATTAGACTCCTTTGTTTACTTCCGGAACATGGTGACATCACAACGTAACTCACGCTTCTATTGGCTAGCACTACAAACAGTTGTATGTGATCGGCTAAGGGGCGGGACAGTTCTTACACATCTCTAAGAAGTTGACCAATGACAACAGAGACGGACAGCAAACCAATCAGAGCAGATTGGGCTCTGGTTTCAGACAGAGGGTGAAAAGAGGTGCTGCAGCACAGGCAGTATGAGAAAAATAAAGATCTTTTTGAACATTAAAGCATGGAGACATGTCTCAGTATAAGCAAAAAAAAAAAAAATCTACCTGAAAATGTGCAGATTAGGGCCCCTTTCATTTCTGTATTTTACCACGTCCACATTTATCTGTTTAAGATATTTAGCTAACAGATTATTCATCATCTTTCAGGGTTTCGCTGTTATGCTAAATTCCACCGGAAGCGGCGTGTGACTCGAAGAAAGGGGCGCTGCGTGGTGCCGGAGTCCGTCAGCAGCGACCAGGGTGGCTTCATCACCATCTGAGGAGGAGGAGGAGGAGGAGGAGGAGGAGGAGGAGGAGGAGGAGGAGGAGGAGGAGGAGGAGAAGGAGGAGGAGGAGGAGGAGGAGGAGGAGGAGGAGGAGGGAATTGAGGGAGGAAGGTCCAGATTTTTTTTCCCCATAAACACTCTGACGCAGGAGCTAAGAGAAGTGCTGAAAGGTGATGGGTCGCTGGTTTTTAAAATTGATCCCACAATAGAAATTACAACACTTGGTCATTTTATACAAAAAAACAAGGGACTTAACTGGAAAGATATTGCATTTTGGTTGGGCCACATCTTTTATCCAGCAATCCCCCACCTTTAAGCATTTTAAAAGTTTCAGTGTTAGTTATTCTTAGGGCTGTGCAATATAAATATTGATATTGTACTACATTTACAAAACAATTATTCATATTGCCCAGCCCTTACTCAAAAATCACTACTTTCTTTTCAAAGATTTGTTTTTCACGATGACACATTTTTGTATTTGTTAAAATCTGGTAGAAAATATCAACTCGGCTGGAAACACACCACTGAGTGAAATCTGTCAACATCTCATAGTGTATGCGTGGATATTCACCTCTATTGTTTTGAATTTTGAGGGAATAATATTTGATGAGTCCTGCGGCTGCTTGTCTCTGTCCTTCTGATCTGAGTCAAACAATGTTTACAAATCCTTTTTTATTATTACATTTCTGTGCTCGGAGTCCCAAACAGATGGCTTTTATTACTTCAGGATAATTCAAATTCAGTCAAGTAAGCTGTCACTCAAACAAATTATGCTTGAATCACCGTTTGGGTTTCTGTGTGAACTCTCTGCTACATTTGGTTTCTTTCTTGTCACACATGCTGAAAATGATTTGCAAATGCTATTTGAACCCAGTCTGCTGTCCTGTTTTGTAAATAAGAAAGCGTTTGAACAACTTTTTTTGTTAACTTGATACCACTTCTTTTCAAATGTACGTAACGGTAGAACGATAAACAAAGACCCTGGTTTGACCTTCCTTTTACATGTCTTAATATATGTTTTATTTATACTGTACTTAAACACATGTTTGTCCAGATGTTGTGTTTGTCCGTCTTTTTTTGGTTTTCATGATTAAACAATTACTAGGATAAACATTTTGTGGTGTAAACTTTGTTTTATTTGCACCATTGACTTTCATCTTTATCAGGCACTCACATGTATTGCTAATGTCTTTGCCTTTATGCTAAAAGCTATTTTAGGTTTTAAAAACTGTTACTTTCATAGCTTTGTGTCAGAAGACTCAAAATGAAATATGTTTAATAGTTTTAACAAATAAAATGGCACGTATAAACAAATATCACTATTAAAATACACACATACTGTATAGTCATATTCACTTACACTTACGCTTTACTTAAAGGTGGGGTAGGTAATTTTGGAGAAACCAGCTCGAGATCGCTAGAATTTGAAAATACACAGCCGGAAAAAATCTGCCACTTCCTTACAGAGCCCCTCCTCCAACACACACGGACGCGCACATGACCAATGAGGGCACGAGATAAGTTTGTGAGATGGAAGGCTGACAGGCAGGTAGGCCATCCAGTTATTTTAGCCGGGCCGGCTAAAATGATTGGTCGTGCTTTTTACAGTACTACGGCTTCCACAGATGACATTTTTTTATGGATTTTTCGTCAAAGCACTTAAGATATTCATTGCTATCGGGATGTTAAGAGCATTCCATGGAATATAACAAAAAGTGTATCTCGAGCCGGTTTCTCAAACTTACCTACCCCACCTTTAATGCATGTTTTTAGATTCTCGAATACCGTTTAAGTCGAGATCTTGCACTTAAAAGTATGTGAAATTACAAATCAATCAATGTGAAATACACAATTAACAGGGGAAGTCCAGCATTTGAAAACCTAAATTAAAGTATAGTAGCACAATAAACAAAATGTCCTTTAAATTCTAATTTGTATATACTGTAGGTAAAAGTGTTCTGCAGAAAAATGTCTGTTCCAGATATCTTTTATAAAACGTTGTGGGATTATTAATAATGATGCTTCATGTGGAGAAGCATTTCACTGCTGCAGCAGCTCAAGAGAAACTGGTTTGAACTACTTTAAATACTCAAGTGGTTCCAAACCGCGGGTCAGGACTCTCTAAAGGTCACAGGATGAATCAGGGAGGTCCTGAGTTTAATAATGAGGAAGGAAAAAACAAATACATGTTTTGCTATTTTTCTGTTTTGCGGACTTTTATCTAATCTTAGCTTTAGCTGTGAAATATTCAATCATGTTACCATTTAGGCTTGAAACTATTTTTCAAATTAAAACAGCGGAGGAGTTTTTGTAAAATCTTTATCTGAAAAGTAACAATATCTGTCAAATACTGTAGTAAAAGGTTTAATAGTATCCTCTGAAAGTGAGGATTAATTAAGATTTCAACCTTCCTTTGTAATCGTACATACATCAGGTACTTAGGGGCAACAAAATGCAGTCGAGCATGTAACCAGAAGTTAAGTTAAGTGCAATAAATATAAATAATAAGACATAACATATGCTAAGATATGAACATGTGCAGCAAGAAGACACACATATATAGTCCAGAACTAAATGTCTCTATTTATCTTACTAAAAGTAAGATAAATATGTGTAAGACATTATATATCTTACTAAAAGTAAGATAAATATGTGTAAGACATTATAGTTTGAATACATATGGGCTGAAATTCTAAATGCTCATGTTAAGTGAAATTATCTCAACATGTACTTAAGTACAGCACTGGAATGTAATCAGTTACTCTTAATCGGAAGGTTATAGCTATCAGGATTTTAGTAAATGTATCATTTCCTTTGAGAAAAAGAAAAAATGTTCTTTGAAATACTTCAGATCAATATAAATCAGGATAAATGTGTCAAATAACCCAGACACATATTTTCTTGAAAATAAGGATTTTCCAGTCACTTCTGAGGCGCCATCATCTCCATGTGATAAAGTGAATGCAGCAATCTTTGAAGCTCATTATCTCCACACTTCTCTGTGTCAAAACCTTTTAACGGGAAGCTTACGACACATTAGAGCAAGTGCAAGCAATAACACTCAGCGTGATCCCAACTCACAAGCTCTGTGAGAATCTATCAATATTTGATTATACAGAGAAAGTAACACTCGTATTTCTTTTCTAACCACCAGCTCTGTCGGGCTGTGATTGTGCCATCCTGATTTACAGCTACAGAATGAAAGCAGTGCTGATGTATTTTTAATAGTTACCTCCGACAGAGCCAAGAGCCAGACAAGTGATGAATTACACACAGCCACATCCTGACCTGAGGAGCTCTTGGAGTGATTAGTTACTAAAGTTCCTATCTTAACTTTCTATACCAGAAGATCACAGGAACAAGAATAACAGCATTATTGTTCCACATTGAAACAAGACAAAACGGCAACAAAAAAAGCCACAACAATGCTAAAAATAAATAATTAAATGCAAAAGATAACTGACATGGTAACTGTGTCTCTACAATAAAGGCACTGGTTGGCCCAAATAATAATACACATAAAGGTAAATATAACAAATGATTTACAATTATAAAAAAGATACATACAAAATACTTAACAAAGTAAAATAAATAAAACATTTTTTAAAGAAGTAATAATATATATATAAAAGGATATATAATAATTAATAATACAAATAATGGTTACTTTCCATGTTCAATGCTCAAGGCATGCTCCCAAATTAATCATAATTAAAGGCCTTTTTTCCCTTTCCACTGGCCTGAACGAGTCTCACTAGATTTTTCGTAAAAAAAACAAAGCTATGAGATGCTCATCATGGATATCAACAATTTACATAAGAGTAAACAAAGTAAAAAAAGATTTTCCTTTTTTACAGAGACAATAAAACAGACTAAATGTCACAATCCTAGTTTTCTGTCACAATCTTAGTTGTCTGTCTTGTCATGATTTTATGTTGAAATTCTGTTCTCCCAGTGTCTTGTCTTCCTTCCTGTGTTTTCCCTCCTGTGTCTGATTGTCTGATTGTGTTCACCTGTTGTGTTTCTGCCTCCCTTGCCCAGCTGTGTCTTGTCCTGTGATTACCCCTCTTTGTATTTAGTCTTGTCTTCCCCTGTGCTCCTTGTCGGTTCATTGTCTTTCCTGTCACCCTTCATGTTGTCACAGTCAGTTCTGTCTGAATGCTACCTCGTGTTACCTACTCTTTGGATTCATGGTTTTGTATTTTTCATTGTCAACAGCTTGTTTTTTTGTAAATAAAGCTCGCTTTTTGTTACATTTTGAAACCCGCTTCCCTTTTTAAACTGCATTTGGGTCCTACCTTTTCCCGAATCGTAACACTATAAACCGTTTGATGAGCTGTAATGAAAATAGATGCAAATGTATTTTGAAAAATAATACTCATAGCAGGTTAGGATGTAAAATGGATCAATAATTCTCAATTGAATCCAATAATTGCATTTTCCCTAATGATAAAAGACATTCCACCTGAAAATTAAATAACATGTCCCACATTTGTCACTCTGCAATCTCATTTCCACACACAAATGCATGCAAACAGCATGTTGGGACTGCTAAATCTGGCTCTGAAGTGTTTGAAAGCACAACAACTTTAATCAGAGGGAGGGAGGGGTCAGAGGTCATCAGGAGGTCAGGGTTCACGCTGGTAAATGAGAGCACAGGGGCCATCTGCTGAGCCGGGAACAATGAATCATCTCCTCTAAGGTAGGAGATGGGCGAAAGGAGTGAGTCAGACTTCAAAAATAATCAGCAGACATTAGCATTTTAAAGATTGGTTGCTGCCCTTGGTCATCTTGAGTTTAAGGGTCAAATGAAAATCCAGACACTGTTGTCATTTCAGACGAGGAGATCAGAGGGAAAGTTCTGTGGCAGAACCCAGAAGAGAGAAATATTGTAGATTTGGAAAAGTGAAAGATGAAGAGACAAAAGTGAAAAGGAGAATGTTTATCGTATTATCTTTTATTCATGGGTGCATAAACAATAGCGTGCAACTTTATTGTGAGGTGTGATGAGGTCTTTGGATTAGCTCTCCTGGAACTGGATATGATGAAAGGAGGTGGATGGGGAGCGTGAACCCCTGAAATCACAGCTGACTGCAGGAGAGAGGAGAACCATTTTAGAGTTTGGCTGCAGCACGTTGATTGGCTGCTGGAGAATGAGGTGAAATGTAATAGGTTAAAGAGAACACCCGTGATGAGCTGATTATATGCAGCTGCGGAGTGAATGTATATATATACCCAGTCTTCCTGAAAGAACTTGTGCTGAGCTTCATTGCATTTTAAACACATCGCAAGTGGATGGATTTGCTTGCTATTATCTTACGTAATGCTGGAACTTTAGTTGATTAATAACAGTTGGGAACAGATAAGATACTATGATTTAGAGGTGAGGAGAAGATGGAGGAATATTATATTTCTAAAGCACTAAATTAGTTTTCATATTAAGTATTTTCTTTGAACGGAGACGGAACAATGCAATAAGTGAAGGGATTATCCTATATGGCACCATAAAACTGGTCTGTTTTTTAAGGGAAAATCCTCAAAATACATTATTACAATTTTGGTGTTTTTTGCTTTCTTTTGATATGTTGGTAATAATATGTCAGTAATGTGTTTTTTTGCTAATTTGTTTTGCCTATTATTGGGACGTTGCTGTATATCCATCCTTTAGCATTTTCGGCAATGCGTGAAATGTAATCCTAATCAATTGAAATTACGCCTTATTATTTCATTTGCATCTAATCACATTTGATCTTCCTTCTTCTGCAGTTGTAAGTGAAAGCAAGAAACTGACTGTTATTTTTTTAAGTTGACAGATTTGGAACAAGACAACAAATCAGAGAAGGTCAATCAAAATCAATAGAGGATATCCTCTGGGGATAATGAATCCATACTAAATTTCACGGTAAACTGAACAGTAGATACAGAAACTTTTCATGGAACAAAGCGTTTGAAGGATGAATGGGTAAAAATCAAATAACTTTTCTAAATGTCACAAGCTGCTAGGACTGCAGTCTGGAAATGGCTTCCTCAACATTTATTTGATCGATTGTATGTGTTATCAACATCTTCACTAGCCCTGACCTAAACAAACCTTATTTTTCTGTAGACTTGACCGCTGGTTTTAAAAAAAAAAAACATTTCTGGTTCGTTTATGTTTTCTTGGTTACAGCTTCATTAATCTTTCATTTCACATTTTGTTTTAATTACAACTTTACCAGCATCACCTGATATTGCAGGTAATTGTAGGATAAGGGTTATATTTGTTGAGACATTTTTATATCTGCTTAATTAATGTGTGATGGAACAGAACACCAAAGCAAAACAAATAAACTACTGGATGGATTGTCATGACATTTTGTCATGTTCCCCAGCGGAGGAATCCTTTTGACTTTGGTGATCCATTGAAAGAGAAGTTGTGACATTTGGAGAAGAATTGTTGATATTTAAAATAAACGCACAAACAAATACCCCCTGCAGGATTTACCTTACCTTTGGCTCCAACTGCCTTTTCTCTTTTTACATATTGTCCACCATTAACAGAGCCAGGGCTATGTATAAACACTGGATTTCTATCAGTGTGAACACAGAACGGAGAGATAGTGGACCGTGAGGAGATTTTCACTGAATTTGAAGTGCCTTGGATTAGAATTGCAGACTTCTCCTTTAAGTTATAATGTTAGTATAATGTCTAATACACAACTTTATGTCCATACCTGACAAATAACTGAGCGTTTTGTTAGCATGAACTGCACTTTGTGTCTATTGTTAAATTAGCAACTGTTAGCCATGCACTACAATAATACCTCATGTGGAATGTGGTAAACATTACACTTTCGAAACATTAGCATGTTAGCATTGCATTGTTAGCTTGCTGCTAGCATGGCTGTGAATTCTTGTCAACACTGTTGAAGGGCTAAACATAGGTGAATTATATCTTCATATTTACTAGGTTAATATTTCTTTAATTGAGCCGTTCACCAATTTCTAAAATTGACGGAGAGCTGCGTAATTAGGCTCCTGCTAAGATTTAAGCAACATGCTAAAATAAAATGTTATTGATCACTGATTAGCTACATGGATTTAAAGGCATTGAAAAATAATTATGGCTGTCAAGCGATTACAAAAATGAGTGTAATTAATTACATGCTTTGTGATTAATTAATCTAAATGAGTCGCATATAGCAATATTTGCTGTGAGAAGCATTTAAAAATATTCAAATATACAATTTCGCCACTGCGATGCTCCGGCTGCTCGTCCCCCGTCCCCGTCGATGCTCGCGACACAGAGGGCCTCATCACATAACTTTGCGTGGGGCCACAAATTGGCCAGGGGCGGCCCTGACTCCGATGGTACAAAAAATGTTGCTGCAGGAATTAGACAACATTTCCTTTCAACAGTTCCATTTCAAGCAAATTTTCTATTTACTGGGCCAAGTAACTTTTTGTCCTCCGCGTCCATCATGTTGACAAGCTACTGTGGCCGGGCTGTGTCGGTAATTTTTTCTGTGATTGATTAATCGAAAAATCAATCACACACTAATTAGACAGCCCTAATAATTAGACAGCCCTAATAATAATACTACAATGAAATGACTATGCTTGCATCAAAAGCCTCTGGTCACAGAGGGTGTGATGTCATTTTATTTCCCTATTTCTTTATAACCACAGCAAAGTTTTGGCATTGAAAATATTTGGTCATAAAAAAATACAATAGTGTAAGATAACATTGGAAGATATATATAATCCTTTACAATTTTAAATATACGTTTGTTATCTTTTATAGAGACCTAGAAGTTTTTTTTGTTTTTTTTTTTAAAAACATTTTAAAGTTTAAACAGACATGGTTCATTCCTTACCATGCATATAGTAAACCTCTACTGGGACGCTGCTGGTGCCCATGTGGTTTCTTTATAGCGAGAGAGTGAGGTGATGCAGGGGGGAAGAGGGGGGAAGAGGGGGGAAGAGGGGGGAAGAGGGGGGAAGAGGGGGGAAGAGGGGGGAAGAGGGGGGAAGAGGGGGGGGGGGGAGTCACATGGGAGGCAGTCAGGCTGCTGTCACATGGTTTGTGTTTGCAGGCTGATCTGAAGGGAGGAGGAGTTTTGGAGAGAAGTTTGTGGAGGAAACAATCGGCCGCAGTTTTTCATGTAGCACCATCAACAAGTGGCAGCAGTGAAGCGGTACAGGAAGAGCTGATGTGATGGAAATCCCTGCCATTAATCTAAAGGTGAGGCTGGAGGTGTGTGTGTTGCTGGAGGAGTGCAGTGTTTAACGAGGACTGGTGTTAACTTGCGTGATGATGTCAACTGTGTTTCTCAATACTCATTGGTAATTCCTCTGTGTGGCAACTACCTGCCTGAGACACACCACAGTAAACTACTGAAATGTGCTTTTGTTGGTGCTTTATTGTTGTTTTTTAATTGGAGTAGAAGAGTTTAGTTAATCAGGAGATACCCTACCCAGGAGATTAGTTGTTTGTATACAGTTCTGTTTACATTGATGGGCACTGGGCAGCAGGCCTGTTGAAAGACCATTATTATAAAAGGCATTGGATGTTAGAAACACATCAGTGAATCTGCTCAGTATTGAGATCTGAATTATTTAAAAATATTTATCTCAAACTAAATATTACCTTGTCAATTATTTCTAAGCTGTCTATGTGTTCTGTTTTAACACTGTTCTATAATATGTGACCTGATGCCTGGATAATATGTCCCTGTCCCTCTTAAAAGGGAGAAACATTCAATTGAATTATGCCTGTATAGTATTTTTGTAAAGGTTAAACAGTTCAAAAGTAGTCAGAAATGTGGACTTAAACATGTGATGTGAAAACTCAGAAAAGAAGATATGAAAGTGTAAGTAAAGGAGCCCTTATGCTTTGAATACTTAATGATCACATGCTTTATGTTTAGTTCTATATGTTCTGACTTTATGTTAGTGAGCTCAATTAGACTGAATTAGGGCTACATCCCATGTTTATGTTCCTCTTTAATTTCCTTAATAAATCCTAACGTCTTAAATTGTAAGAAGATAGTGAAATAAATTCCAAAGTTGAACCTCTTTCCAAAACCCAAAGAGTGTGGTTAACAATGACTTCAGAGAAAAACTCACAGTAGAGAAGTTGGAGAAACTAAATGTTTTGAGTTTTAGACAACTGTCGAAACTGTAATTTCTTTGGATTGTTTGCAGCCTGAAGCGCTATAGACTAACGGTAATCACAACCCTTTTTTGTCTTTCTAACACTTGTCTCTTGTTCTCTGCTGCAGGCCATAGTACTGGTGCACTGGCTGCTTACAGTATGGTGAGTGTGAGCACAGGATTTCTTTCACAAACCTGAGGAATTTCTCTCCTCTTTGGGCACACACAAACACACACGTTCACACAGAGAATGATTTACAACGGACTGACTCAGGGCTTCTCTTTCACCTCCACGGCCTTTCCTTATGTATTTCTATTACTTTTATTTTGCACGTAACTCCATCTTCATCTCACCACTCACATGTGTTTAGAAATCACTGTTCATCTTTACATGTGTTTATTCCACATATCCACATTATATATCATCACAGTTTTGCACCATTGTATCAGTTGTAGTATTTTTATTGCATAATTTACTTCCTTATTTCTGTATTTAGTTTTGTCTAAAGTGTATTGCATGTTGCACGGATGGCGGAGCTTGGGATTTAAGATTTTTAAATTAAACTAAAACTTTTCAATCTGAAATGTTTTCTTCTTGATTTTTTGTTTTCTTTTACATTTGTATCTGTAAATAATTTAACCTGGACAGCACTCTATGTTTAAGTTTGAAAAATGCTCTAAACAAATATATTCTTGCTGTTATTGTTGTTATGTGACTGTAGAATGTGTGTGTTTTCTGCAGGGGATGCATGGCGTGGCTTCCCACCTCCTATGCCTGGGTGAACTTCAGTGTGTTTGCTATCGGGGTGTGGGCCATTGCACAGAGGGACTCCATCGATGCCGTGCTCATGGTGAGTCTTCACCTCGATTCCTGCAAACATCATGTGAGGCGCACTAACTATAGGCGCAGCAATGCGTATCCGTGCTAACCTATTTGTCTGTGGAATGTAGGACAATCTGTGAGCATCCCTTTGACGGAAAATAGCCTTCCTTTAATTCAGCAGTAACCGTGGCTTTCATGGTGCACCGATTCACACACATGTTCCAGGCAGGTCTGTAGTCTAAAGCCAATTTATTAACATGTAGGTGGTATTTCCCTTCTTTTTGCTGTCATTTCTATAAGGTGGGATAACACTTCACTCTCCAAACTCAATGCTAAGGATTGGAAACACAGCAACATCCCAATAATGAAGTCAGCAGGGGCAAATGTAGCTTAGAATGAAATAATGTAATCTGATATTTTAAGCCGAAATAGTAGATAGTGTACTACCCTACCCTTACGCTGTACAATCATGGATACAACGGTTTGCTAACAATGTATTGGAGCGAGTAATAGGAAGGGAAAGAGTTTTCACAGAGTGCAGTAACCTGTTGGGAATGCACAGCAGTGAGGATACATCGTCCGTCTTTTTGTTTGCCTGAAGAAAATATCCTGAGTCTGATTGATGGGTTAGCCGACGCACTGAGCTCTGACACATCACAGCCTCTCAGCTCTGCTACAGGTCTGCACTGCATTGAGATTTAATGCTACAGGACGTTTTTTGGGTTGTTACGCTCTTTGCTGAATTTTCCCAGTAAATGTCTTTGTAATGTTACTCATGAATTCGGCCAGCAGACAAACATTTTCTGTGCAGCTTGGTCAGCCATGTTTCTATTGTTTTAGAATGTCTTCATTTACCCAGAACTCATGGCAAGTTAGTCTTAATTATCCAGATACTATAATGATCACAATTACATGTAAGTATTTGATGTACATGAACTCGTAAAAAGTTGAACATCAAATATAGGCAAATGTATGCAAAACAAACCTCATAGAGAGAGATTTATTAAACAAAATGTTTGTGTTTTTCCTATTTTTCCAAAATACTGACTTTGGCTATTAATAAAAGGGTGTTTTTTCCATGTTACATATAATACATTTTCAGTTGTTAGATACTGTTCCTGTTCGATACTAAGTATGTTAATACCAGATTTCAAGAGATTAGACCATTATGAACAAATATTCTAGCATTTTTCCATTGTCTTTGGGTAAATGGCTTAAGAAAGACAATAAAATGACAAATATGTGGTGCGGATCAATTAAGACGTTCATTTTTAAGTCTGACTATAAGGTCAATCCAAGCCTTAGTCCAAGTTTGCGTTTGTGAAAGAGTTCCTGCCGAAGCAAATACTCTACAGCTGGAGGGTAAAGAGAGAAATATCAGTCTGGTGTCTCGCTCAATGACACCTCTGACTGTAATAGATTCTGAATGTCCATGCCTTGGGAAGAACCCAAGGGGGAAACTTTTACTTTGTGTACTTTAAAGTCCACGGGTCCTTCAGGGAGGAAAGTCTTTTGGGCTGAGCCAGCCAAAGTTTGAAAAGAAAGGCAAAAAATAAATAATGCACAGAAGTTTTTGTGAATCAAGATGCAGTTTCAAAGTCCTATCAACTACAGTACAAAGATGAGAGATAGTCCGGCTTTCTCCCTACTGCTTATTCATTGATATATAACTCCAGGCTTAACCTCTACTTTGTCAAGTTTCTAAAGATTCAGAATCAGAAAGCCTTTATTAGTCCTGCAGCGGGGACATTCACAGCACTACAGCAAAAGTCACAGTGCTGATAAAAGGCAAAACAATTAAGAGTAAGCTAACATAATAAATATAGAGACAATGACACGTAAGTGAAAAAACTAAATACTATACAGACAAATAAGTAAAGAACCATTATAAAAAATAAGCAGCAGCAATTTTGTGTGATCCCATAATAAAGATTTGGCTGTCCGAGATAATAAAGGCAATAGATAAATCAGTATCTTTTATCTAATTTATCACAGGTTTTTATAAAATGTCCCTTCAGAAATGTCTGACGTTTTCCTTGCACAATAAATTGCCTTGGGTATAATTACCAAGATGTGTTGGCACTTGAGAGCATGAAACTACTACTAAAAGTAAAAGCCTGACCCATCATCCATGTCCGTTAAGAAGTCTTCCTCTTTTTGTTTTCCCCATGTAGTTCCTGGTTGGGATGTTCGTGACGATAGTGACCGACATCGTCCATTTCGGCATCTTTTACCCGATAAATGATTTCGCTGCAGAGAGTGGAAGGAACGTGTTTCGCTTCAGCGCAGGAATGGCCATCCTCAGCTTGCTGCTTAAACCTGCGTCCTGCTTCTTCGTCTACCAAATGTACCGCGAGCGTGGAGGAGATTACAACGTTAACTTTGGTTAGTGCTGCAAGATGAGATACTATAGTTACATTAGGTATTGTCAGACAATTGGGGAAGTGTTTGAAATGCCACTTAAAAGGCTTCTTATGAAGAAGGGTGAGATTTTCAGCTCTGATAAAGACACCAAACGCTCCAAAAATATGATTTTTACAGCGAGAACTGATGCTATCTCGCAACACTCTGGAAAATATTGTTTATTTAAGAACCAAAGTGTTATCTAATTCTCTTTTGAGGAGCAGATGACATAGAACAAAACTGATCACATAACAAAAGGAGGCTTCATGGTGCCAGGAATATTTTAAACATATTTCCAGAATCATGAAGAAATAATGGTTTTACCCCCTGCAAATAAAGGTTTCCCAGGCCTGAGTGTGACCAAAGCTAGATGTACTGAGTGAAGCATGTGTCCAGAGGCGCTTAGAGATACTCTCTATGTTGTTTTATGCTGTTTGTCATGAAAGCCCTGCCGAGTGCAGCACACTGGAGGGGGATTGTGCTAAACCAGTGGCAGATGATCCCACAGTCAGACTAATTAGTTTCAGTCACAAGACTCTAAATGTAGTTCGTCCCGGGCAAGGACATCATTTCTCCACGAGTTGTTTATAACATTTGTGTGTCACCCTGGCCACCGGTGTATACTGCATGCAGGAACATTATATTAAACCAACAGGCTGTACAATTTATGATCTGCCATGATCGCCCAAAAATAGCACAAGATTGATGTGAAAGGAACATGTACCATGTGTGTACAGGAATAGAGATTTTGAGTTTATGTGTACACTATATATCTCTCACTTCTTCCATTGACTAGTCAGGAGATGTGTTTCTGTGATTAACAACGTGTGGCCATTGATCTTTGGGACTTTGACTCGCTCTGCTGAGAGCTTTCCCATCAGGAATCCCACTGAGCTGTGACTCTTGAATTCTTGAAATGTTACTCATGGCTTCATCTATATGGATTAACCACACGTGGTAGTATTCATCATTTGTAGTTAATGATTTCATGGTAGTGTTGAGAATGGATTCATACAAGGAGCTTTGAGTTACTGAGCTTTTCTTGCTTTCATGAAGAGAAGAACACATATTACAAAATGAAACAAGGTTTCATCTGTTTGAAACTGTCATATCACTAGCTAAAATAGTAATGTATTACATTACATTCTAGGAAAGGTAAGGACATTTCTCCTGCATTTTGACCAAATTGTCTCCTCATTTGCCAGTTTGGAGGATAATTGAATATTGATGAATCTGCTCTCTCTGTGGTTTTACTTTAACATCACAGACACACAGCAGGTACATCCATTAGAGGGTGATTGGCTGTGGGGTGACTGATGAGTGCAGCTAATGTTAGTTTCAAACAATGTGTGTTTTAATTGCTGTCTGATTGCATGGCTGACATTAACATGGTTCCCTGCTGCACTGAGCACTCTGGGAAACGGGCAATCAGGTGCATGAGAGTGAGTGTTTGATGCAGGCCTACAGCGATCTCTGAATGGTGACTGGCGGCCCTCTTAAGCTGGTTGAAATTGCACAGGCTTTTTCTTTTTCTTTTTTTCTTCAATACAATAGAGTCTGTCAGACTGACCGTTCAACTTTAAATGAAGCATTCACTTAACACTTCCTCAGATTCTAATTAGCATGTCATGCTTGTCAGGCTTTGAGTTTCTCTTCATGCTGAAGCACTGTGCATAACATTTGTATTAGTTGTATTTTTTGCCTTTCCCTAACCTAAACACATTTTTTATCATAAGGAATGGTTTTAACTGTGTGTGCCTGCTCTAATGTAAGCTGTGTAAAGGTTAGCATGTCGAGCTAACTAGCTTGTAACTACAGTATACATCATTAATCACTGTAAGATAAGTTAGCTTATCATTAGCTAACAACGTTTTTTTTGTGGGGTTACAAGTGGTGTTAAGAAAAGCTCAGTTCAGGACTAGCACATCTACATTGTAGTACTTACACTACGGGGTCATCTTTTTGTTCCCCAGCGCCCTTAGCTCTTAATATTTCCTAGTAAAAGCTTTGTACCGCAGGTGCTTCCCTCCTGCAGCGGTCAGACTTTACAACCACTACGGCCCCTGGTAGACCCCCCACACATATAACAAAAAGACTTTAACACTCCTTATGTGCAATATATATTTACCGTAAATAGCTGTGCAATATATACTATACTATACTATACTTCCACCTTTAATATTTCACCTGGATGCTATATCGCTAAACTGTACTGTTACTGGATGTGTATTTTGTAAATAGCTAGCTACCCTGTGGACTTTTTAACCAACTCAGTTATGTTAATTAGCTGCCAATATTTGTCTACATTTCAGACAGAACATTTGACAGAGAAGCCTGCTCATCTGTTGAAATAATGGTCCCAATGTGTCAATAATTACTACTTTTATTTTGATTGGTCAATTCTATCAATGTTGACCTGTGAATCCTCGTGTAAGAATTTGTTTCCCTGCTCTTTTCCTGCTTGTCGTCATTTCAAACCTCACCGTATGTCTTGCTGTCATGTTTTTTGTCATATCATTTTTCTGTGTTGTCTTGTTTTCCTGTTATTATTTGACTATGTGTCTTGTGTCTCTTCTCTTCTCCACTGCCGACCTTTGACCTCTCAGACTTTGAGACCTCTGTGGACAGTCGATGCACTACGGATAGTGCTGACAGTGCATTTATTGGCCGCCGCTATTGATTCCTGGCTTCTTCCTTTTTACCATTTTCTCTTCTCCAATCATCCTCTTCCACCCTCTTCCCAACAGGAAGTAAGATTGCAAATCAGGCTGCAGGACAGAAAAAATAACATTTCTTGTTATATATTTTTTCTTTCCCACTTATCTTGTTAATGTCAATCTTTATTTTCATAATTATTTATATTCATTCATCTGTCAATTCCATCAGTCCTCATTACCTTCACATACCTGCCTGCATAGCTGTGTTTACAGTATGTTTGTTTACATGTCTGTTGTATATATGTGTTTATATGTTTCTGTAAGTTTGCCCATGTTTTATTCATATCACTCTCCAGACGCCTCATTTGTGTTTGTGGATTCTGTTTGCATATATTTAAAGCAAAGCCGCATGATGGTGCACATTCTCAAATAGCCCTAATTAAAATGTCGACTTATAATAGACAACGAATGTGACCTGTTTAAAACAATACGAGTGAGTTATAAAAGGCTTCTTGAGCAACATGATGCATTTTTTTTTAAATAAAATAAAAGAATACCATCACAGTTATGCACAATTATTACAATTAACATATATTTGTGCAAATCATCCACACCCTCTGCAAGGAAAGTGCTTGTTTGATCCGCATTGTGTTAGTCACAGTTATAGGACTCTGGGCCATGCAGACATTAAAGTGAGCGGGCCTTTGAACTATTACATTGTTATTCTGGTTTGTTTGGGAGTATCACAGGGAGACTTTTCAGATGGATTATGTCAGTATACTGTCTTCCGTTAAACAATCGTAATGATTTATGTTAACATTAAACTCTTTTAGGCACAGAGAAACGTGAATGCACAGGATTTGTAGTGGATTAAAGGATTCTGCTCACAAGGTTTTACTGTGGTCAATTTCTCTTTATTACCGACAGAACAAGCAGTTTATCAGACAGTACTGTGTGATGACATTGGAGGAATATCAACAGAGGTTTTTTATGCCCCTTACTTTAAAGAAATAAGTGTAGAAATCAAGAAAAAGGAATTTGGTTTGTCTTAGAATACCTTTCTTGTGCAAACATTACTATCTATATTGCAACATATTTGAGTAGTGCTTCGTAATGACTATGAATAATACATTTTGCACGTCAGCGGTTCAGTGTATTGACCATTTTTGGCTTGTCTCTGCAGGTTTCATTACTGTATCACGAGACAGAGAAGCCTACCAGTCCATTGACCAACAGGAAGAGCCCCCCACCCCGGCCAACCCCTTCAACCAGGCCCAGGACAGCAAGCCAGCCGTCCGCACTTACTGAGAAACAGGCGGTGAGACGGCAGTGTTTCCCTCTGAGTCTCTGCAGCAGCACAGTGCTAGGGGGCATTTTTTTTTTTACTATCGATTCCACATTTTTCCCTGTGTTTAGTAAATCTGCTTTGGACTCCAGAAAGATGTAATACTTTTTATACAGTGAATCATTACCTCCATTTGGGCTTAAGAATACAAAATAATTTCAATTTTTTTCTTTAAGGGTTGCTGTTTTTTTGTTTAGTTTTTTTGATAAACTGGCACTCCCCTGCTGAATAAATACAGAGGAAACACTGCTTCCACTCCCATGCTGTGTTACTGTATCGGCTAGTATTTTTAGAAGAGAGGCATTGAATGGAACTGTTAAGTCTGTTTAGTTTTTTCCAATTGAGTCATTTTTACAAGTGGCACTTACATATTAGGTCTGTTTCTCTTCGCTCTGTGAACTATTACAATGTCCCTATTCTTGTATGCAGTATTATTTTCCAATGTTTCGCTATGGTACAGAAGTGCTTAAAGCACAGGAATTATTTTTTTAACACAAAATTGTTGAATGTCACGCTTTAGAAGCTACCTTGTGCCTTTTGTACTTTTCACCTTTAGCTATGAAATCCTTCAACTGAGCTGAAGACACGATGACCAAATGAAAGTGACAGGCCTTTATTCTTATAACTAAACGAGAAGGGTACTATTCACTTATCTTGATGTTGACCTATGCAATGCCCGTATTAAGACTACTGTAACTCTGAAAACAATATATTAAAGAGTCCCTGTTATGCTTTTTGTGGTTCTCCCATTCCTGTAATGTGTTATAGAGGTTTTTGTGCATGTAAATGGTCTGCTAAGGCTAAAAATCCCCCCCCCCCCCCCTGCTGTTCACTATTGAACACTCAGGCTTCTATTGGCTAGCGCTCCAACACATTGTACGTAAAATGCTAAGAGGAGCGACATCTCAAAGCAGTTGACCAATCACAAAAGAGCTAACCAATCAGAGCAGCCTGGGCTCTGGTTTCAGACAGAGGGTGAAAAGAGGTGCTGCAGCACAGGCAGTATGAGAAAAATAAAGAGCTTTTTGAATATTAAAGCATGGAGACATGTTAATATGCAAATATGAACCTGAACATTAGTATAACAGGGCCCCTTTAACAAATTCAAGAAAAAAAGAAATACGAAGCTTTGTGTAATTATTTAAGTTAATTATTTTTAACTTTTAAATATATTATTCTTGTAGTTTTTCTCATGTAAGTTCCTATAGACTGCCGTTAAAACGTTTAGAAAGTACATTTCAGACCAAATACTGTGCAGCCTCTGGTAGCTGATCTAAATGAAGACAGCAGATATGAGAGAGTCACTTTATAAAGGGTTTGAAAACCAGTAGAAGTGGTTTGCTTCATTCAGTGTTCACTGAATAAAGTGCACACTAGGTTTGAGTTGGTCAATTACACAATGGTGACAGCAGTTGGATCATAAAGCAGAGGGTGGATTTTACACACTGATTGCATCATTTGGCCTTTTTTGTTCTCATGAAAGTTTTGAGTTTCCAGTTTTATAAATCATGTCGACCTTTGTGACAGGGTGAGTGGTCACATTATGGAGATGTAAAGTTATCACAGGCTCTTGAGTAAAGATAATTGTTACCTCACAACCTTGTACTCCAGGGGGTACTTACGTAGTCTCTAATGGGGACATGGAAAGATAGTGGGGTATCTCAACTCAATTGAATTAAAAATGATGATTTGATTGCAAAATACTCCAATCGGCCTGAACACTATGTGACTAAAAGTGGGACACAATTTAAATCAGTTACGAAGAGGGCAGAAAAGCGTATACAGTTGCCTAAAGTTATACGTAAATGGGTGAACATATATTGCTAAAATATTGTTTAAGAGTTGAAACATCCTGTTTAGCCCTTTTCAAGACACCACTATTATTCATTGTCATTATTTACAACTTTACAGCTGGAACACAGCGATTCTGAAGGATGTTGTGTGAGACCAAATGTGTGATTAAGTCCTGAAAGAAACAAATGTATCTTAAACAATTTATATGATCTTGATAACTCTATTAAATATTATTTTTCTTTGACACTTTAGGAAAATATTTCTTTATGATGCTGTGCTAATAAAGGTGTAGGAAGGATGCAGCTTAATGTGTCTTGCTCCCAATGCATTTGGCTATACTTAAAGATACAAAGACCACTAAATACTACTCAAATAAAAATAAGAACACAATATAAAAAGATATATATGGTCTGCATCTTTTGATGAAAGTACTGCAGATCTGCCCGAATTTTGGTCCCACATTTTTGACAAATAATATGACTGGTCGTATCAGACTTATTTTATTTTGGTTCTCCAACATGAGATTTATCATTTTTGTTTGATTGGTTTTGATTTAAAATGTCATGTGGCAAGTTGTTTTTTCCCTTTACAATAGTAAAGTGTATACTCAGAGGACTTACATGAAGCACTCTCAGTCCAACTGACTGACTCGTTTTCATCCAAGCTTTCAGATCTTTCTCTCTCTATTTTTCTCTCATGATGTCTTCTTCTTTCTCTTTTTCTTGTTGTTGTTCTTCTTCTGCTTCTTCGTGTTATTCATTTTCTTTTTTGTGCTTCGTGTTCATCTTCTGTCCATATTCGCCAAACCAGCTTCAGCCTTCAGTAAAAACTCATTGCAACCACAATACAGTATTGCACTACAACACCACTTCATTTCAAGTAACACTAAAATATCTGAAAAATCCTTATTAAATTGCACTATCTTTTCTCTCCCCACTACCTCTTGCATTGCAAATATATCAAGAGTAATTACAGTGACAAAGCAGTGTGCACCTGGAATGTAAAAACACCTGATTTCCATATTTCACCCACACCCAAAGTAAAAACAAGTGTTCCTCACTGATTTACATACATAATTGAAGTAGTACACACAGAACATGAACCTGCAGTCAAGGTTTCTGCTCCCTGATGGATTTCATTATTGTGAAATAGTAACTGTGGTAAGCTTGAATGGTCTATTGTCCTCAAATGTGTAGGCAGTGGAACGGTGAGTCCTTGAGGTAAGAGCTTTGTCATTTGTTTGTGTAGTATCGCCTCCTGAGCCTCTTTAGAAAGCATGAATGGAAACTCTATTACTGCAGGAGCAACAGGGGCAATGTTGTACACTTTCATATGCATAAACACAACATGTTCAACACCACGGAGAACGTTTTTACACGTTTAAATTCGAGCAGCAAACATCAGTGACAAGCAGTAAAGCTGCCATGTTGCACTGAGAGACAGATGGAAATAAAAGTAGTCTGATAGAAAGCTGCGTATACTCATCCTCAGGGAGGCTGTAACAGTAATGATTAAACATTGGATTATTATTCACAACACTACATGCCTTTGAATGTAATTCTTAATAAATAAACACATTAGGTGGGCTTGAGAAAAGATGGGAAATTGTTTGTCAAAAACACTTTAATTAAAACACTAAACCTGGAATACAAATCACAAATGGACTCCTTGAAGTTAAATGTTAAGCTTTAATATTTCAGAACAATTTCCCATTGTTTTTCAAGTTAAGTTAATAAACTCTGTAATTTGTTACTAACGCGTGAAGAATATAAATCGTTTTTGTACCCTTCTTATCAATTCATTACAATTACGTTTTTGTTAGTGCACAGCAGATCAACTAAGCATAAAACAGTGTGAAATGAGTAAAAGCAATTTATCATGTACTCATGATAATGTTTCAAATAACTGATCAATACACTACATTTCCATGGGTTTTCTATAAAGGAAACCATCTTAGATAGGGCTGTCCAGGTCGAATATTCTAACCCTAAATAATTGTATTATTCAGACCTAAGGAAACACCAACATATGCTTTAATGAACAAACCAATACAAATAGACGATTATGATGATCCTGATATAGATGAGATTAACAAACACAGGTTGCCTTGTGACTTTCTAATGTGTGCTTCTCAAGGTAACAGCCAAACTGCTGACCAAGAAAACACGAAGAATTCCGAGTCATTTGGCACTGAAGTGTTCACATCTTCACCGTGTTGGTTTAATGCCAGACTGCAGGTCAGCCAATAGAGATGTCAGCCAGACGTCTGTAAACCTGAACGATCCAGACACTGCACAGACTGCAAAAACATCAAGGTGAGACACAAGTATATGTCGTTTTTACTTGCCAGGATTTTGAAACAAATTTCATATAATTGAAATTGAAGTTAATTTAGTTATTCCAACCAAAGTGTTTAATAAGTTGGCCAAACTGATCCAAAGCAATAGGTCACATAATTATCTTTTAGGATTATTCACAATCATTTGTGTTTCTATAATAATTCCTTTCTCTCTTTCTTTCTTTTGTCTTATTTTTCTTTCTTTCATATTGTTCTTTCATTCTTCCTTTGTTTTTGTCCTTTTTAATTTATCCTTTTTGTTCCTTCTTTCTTTCTTTCTTTCATTTATTCATTCTTTCTTTTGTCATTCTTTCTTTCTTTCATTTTATATTCTTTCTTTCTTTCATTTTATATTCTTTCTTTCTTTTTGTCCTATATTAATTATTTATTGTCTTTCTCTCTTTCTCGCAGGAAACAAATGTAGGGTTACGTGAGTTGATTGTTGATTTTGCACTAAGTTGATCACTGGATTTAGAAAAAAAGGAAGATGATGGTGGATGGTGTGGGTGAAGATATATAAGAAGAAGAAGGAGGTGGTAAAGGAGATGGGGGGGGGGGGGTATTTCCATCAGCCCAACGAGCTTCAGATTAATAAGGAGCTGCGGGGGTCTCTCCTGAGTTTTGCATGCTGCAGGTTCACACCTGTAATTCCTGCGAGTCAAGGACGCGCTCACCCTCTGCTGCTGTCGGTCCATGCAATAAAAGGAACTCAATTTGTCAGCTCTGTTATTGCATTACTGACAATCCCCCAAGAGGTTTTGATAGAATGAATGTTTTTTTCAAGACTGCACACATCCAACAGTAATAAATGTGTTATTCAGAGCATCTTCAAGTGACCAATATTTTAAATTAAATCATATACAGCATATCAACTTTTGCTCCTTCATAATTGGAATAAAGAAAATCCATTGCACATATGACAAGCGACTGAGATAAATATGTATTGATATACCATTGAGACTTTCAGGTTTGCTCCAGGTTTATTGTAATATTTTGGGCACATTTTGTGTCCTGTGGCTCTCTGTTAGGCAGCTAAGGAATAGCTTCACTTCACATGTCAAAAGTGCTAAGTCGAAGTACTATTTGTCAGTTACCACAGAAAACCTAAATAATCTTAGGACATTTTGGAAAGCCATAAAATCGATATCCACCGGTGATATCCGTAATGAGCTACCTCCGTGCCTTACCACAGCATCTGGCTCTATATCGGACAGGGCCACCATGTTAAATTGTTTTAATGAGCATTTTGTGTCCTGTGGCTCTCTGTTTGATTCTGTGACTAACTCTGCTTCTGTGAACACCACAGTCTGACTCTGAACAATGTGGTTTGGAAAACCCTTTCAGTTGTACTCCTTTTACTGTAAATGTTGTCCATGAAGCTTTAACCAAGTTAGATCCTAAGAAACCGGCCGGCCCGGACAACGTAGAACCTTTCTTTTTAAAGATAGCTGCAGATTTTATTGCTCCACCTCTCACTTCTCTTTTTAACCTCTCCCTCAGCACAAATGCAATTCCAAAAGTATGGAAGTCAGCTTATGTCTTGCCTTTACTAAAAGGAGGGGAGGCAACTATTTTAAATAACTATAGGCCAATCTCGAAAT